TTTACTCCCTTAAATATTACAAAAGAAGAATTTTTATAGAGAGATAATGCGAATGGAAACACCATCCGCAAATACCAGAGGAAACACAACAGTGACTTTATTTATGTATTAATGTATTTTCCTTTTTTTTTTTTATTAAAGGAAGTGAAATCTACATTTCTACACTATTAAGTGTGCAACTGGCTCAAATAGAAATAAATAAATAAATAATATAAATCATTTTCATCACATATTTACCGAACGGGATCCCCTACCTCTAGGTGTCTGGCTACGTCCATGCGTGAGATAGTCTTACAGCCTACAATTGTGTATTATAATTAATTGCAAGTACAATAATAATTAAATGCAAGTGTTGAATTGATAATAATTGAATCGTTTGATTCATTAACTATCAATAATATACTTCAATTAAATTCCATTAAACAAAGTACAAATTTTTCCATTTCGAACTATAATTAATACTGCTAGCAAAACATTAACAATTTTTCACAGATACACAATGATTAACAAACTTAATTTCAATAAAATTAATATATGCTTACATTGGCATTTATTAGTTAACAACATTGGTGGTATTTATCAAGGAATCGACTATTTTGTTTAGCTGATTTTAAACTGTCGTTTTACTGTACTTCTGTACTGAATTTTATCACGCATACTCTCAACATTCTTCAAAAATGGTTATTTCATATACTGGCCATTGTAGAAGGTGTAGCGATGAGGAGACAGATGATGCGAATATAGGGAGTAACTATGATATGTAACTATCAGCTGGAAGGTGTGTATCTCATATATTTCTTCATTTATTACAGTTTGTATGTTATGTTAATTGTACTCGATCTTCCAATGGGATCCTGTGGTATCACAATGCTCCAATTTGATCTAAGCGTGTTGACTTCCAAAAACATGGAAATCACTTTTAATTCATTTATTGAATTAAAAAACAACACCATTCTACATGTTATAAATCTTTGATTATGTTTTGCAAACTAATATAGATAAACCAAAGGCTGTTATTATAAAGACTCATTAAAAAATGTTGAATTCTTTAGTAGGGTTTCAACCATCCTTAATCAACATAGAAGGTAACAATAATATTGAAAAAGTTTATTATTAGTAGCAAAGAAGTTATCTACAATACTGCGTTATAATCATAATAAATTATGAAACTATGATAATTATCATTTAATATTAATTAAGTCGAGCCCAATAAATCGACTTACTCTCTTTCTCCATCTATCTCTGCCTCTCTTCCTCTTGATTGCGATGGTCATTATGTTCGATTCTTTGCTGCTATAATGTTGTTTTTAAGGGAGCAGGGTTCAGTCTCTGCAGTCATAAAAATATCGAATTGAAATTTTCAGTTCTCTTTACAACGTTTTATTGTAAAGGCCTAGGCTTTCGTCATCTATTAGATTTATATATTTTTAATAATTATTTGTCGGTTGTCACCATTTATATAAATTATGAATATATATGTATGTTTTCCTAAATGTTTTATTCAATTATTAATTTTATTATAATATCTAAAATAAGTACTTGAAGTATACCAATAATATTTTTTTATAACGGCAAAATTTGTTTTGACCTTCTGTAATCATTTAACTTTTTATTTATCTGTTAATTAAAAACCGCGTCTATTGCATATCTAACCAATTATAGATCTACTATTTATAAATAATTACATTTTTTAACATTGTTTTTATTGTCGTTAACACTTATTAAGTAATTATGATTCAATTGAATGGAATCAGAGAGGTAGAACAATATAAAATACACATACATATACCTTATATAGAATAACATATGTTAATAATTAGTATTTTAATATGAATAGTATATAAGTAGCATTTACTTTTATTTATTTTGCAATCTTTTTATACTAACAAAATAACGACGCATGTCCCTTAAAATTCAATTCAAATTAAATTAAATATATTTGTGATCAATTATAACCATATTAATTAAGAAGATCTTGTTAATATACTTGTAAACAAGTCATATTATTTATTTCTAAATTATTATTTTTATTTATAATTACATGAAAACAAATATATAATAGACACAGTCTGTAAAAAATTTTGAAGTAGTCAGCTACGAAATTACATTCATCATGATGATTTGCAGATTTCATTAGCATTTGTTAAAAAATTAGATATTAAGTATCGATTGTAAATATTGATACAGCGCCAATCTTATTGACAGCCCTCATTTCAAATTCAAATAATTTACTTTAAATTAATACTTTAGCATTTGTTATTAATTGTAATAGATTTTTCTTTTCTTAATCCCTTTTATGTTAAGGTACATTAGTTGGGGTGCGACAATTGTAAATCTGTAATAGAAGTACTACTAATTTCATTTTTAAGCTTATAAATATTTAAATTTCCGATTGGTATAAATTCACTATGGAAGAAGTTTAAATTGCAGAAAATAACATCGCTCAGTTATATCTTCGTTCTAAAAAAATATTGCACTTTGAAGTGTTTGTCTCAACCTCGCTTTAGAAAGCACATCTCGTGCTTCTTCTTAGAAAATTTAAGAGATTTGCAATATTCTATATACATATATCAACACCACATTGTCGAATCTCAGAATGGTTATAGGCTCCTCGCGAAGGTATACAGATCTGCGGTTACTTATTGCTTAGTCTGATAAGTGGTAAAGAATAATCCAGTCAAGGCATAGAGAGGGGTTAAAAAGAAACTTCGCAGTTAATAGAGAGTAAAAGTGCTCAAGTGCACCGATTTAACTAGCCTCAACATATATATGTAAATGAATAATGGTTTGATCTTTAATGTCGGTTTATTCATAACTTTTTGTTCTTGTTCCACTGATATTGATTAGCACTCCTTATAACGGCAGTATATGTAGAGCTCAGATTTCGTCCGTAAGCTGACTTAATTAACAAAGAAAATATATTCCTTTTAAGAGTTTTTGTATTCTTATCTCGTTTATTACAAATTCTTCTTTCCAAACACATATCTTAAACATTGGCTATCGTCCTAGTCTGTCTTGTTTTTCTTTGAATTCTATAACATTTCAAAAATGTAACTTTTATAACATTTATAAAAGATTTTTATGTATTAATTGAAAATATAATTAGGCGATAAAAAAAGAAAATTATTTAGTTTTCGATTTTAACTAAAGATGAACGATTATGTAGATCCTATAGTTCATATATAGGAAATAAACCATTGATTTGATATTGGGCTGAAATATACAATACATGCATACAAAAAATTTACAATTTTCCTTAAAAATATTACTGAGCTACTTTATTTTACATTAATTCTTTTCATATTTTTCAACAGCGATATGAATACTATGTTTAAAAGGTCTAATACTGTTTGATATCTTATCTTGAAATCGTATTTGATACAAAAGTCATTATCTGTGATTTAGTTTTATACAATAAAATAACAAAAATGTTTCCACTTAATGTACATTTATTTACCAATAAAACGTTAAATTGATTGAAAATAAAAATCGATGACGTCATGAAAACTATCTTGTCTATTTTTACGCTCTTAAAAAACCATTTATAGTACTTCAAAACTGTGTATGTTTATTAAAGGTTTTAAGTACCACTTGACTTGGTCTATACTCGTAGACAAATTCGGTAACTAATTAAAATGTGTTATAAACTAATTACAAATAATAAAAACTATGACTCAAATTCAAATATATTTGAGATTAAAATATGAACAAATTATGTACGGAACAATCTACAATTATAATACCTTACACTCCGCTAAACCTTAAAACCGGAATGCTCTATTAAATATAATTCGTTCTTTTTCTAAATAATAACAAAATATGTATCTAAAGTAAGAACAAAAACCGACCGTGAACTATTCTTTGAAAAATATCTAATAATGTATGTATTTATATGACGTAATGAAACAAACTTCAATAAAATAACAGAAATTAATTTATTATGTATGTAGAGTGTTTAAATGTTTAATATATGTGAACTCATTTTTATTTGATGTGATGAAAAATTCGAACGACCTTAACCGATAACAAATAATAGATTACGTTTCTGTTCCCACATAAATAATATACAAATACATTGTAATAAAAATACTCCAGAATATATGACAGCGACGATATAGTGATCAGATTATTATCAATCTTAGGTTATATCAGATTACTGAAGAAAGTAAAATTGTGCCTTTAAAAGTGATTAATAGCTTTAAAGAATATAGATCTTAAATTATACTTTGGAACTATGATTACTGTATATATATATATATAAGTAGAACTGATACCGTAGAAAATAAGGGTTGAAATTCACAAAAAAATCTTTGTTCTTCTCGTGGTTGTAAATCGGTGCTTGAACAATTGTCTTTAAAAGAGAAGAATAACGGATCGCTGCAGAAAATAGAGTTTATTGAATTTAAATATAGAAAGCTTATGAGGTGCTATTATAATGACAACTAAATTAATATTTCACAGTAACAAAAGAATTTAAAATAGATACCTGTATTTATGTTTTGAATTTCAATTGATGAATAAAACGAATTTACTAATACTACTTAAAGTGTAGTATGGTTAAAAAAAAAACCTTCATTATTTTGATTTTTTTGATAATGAATTGTTGAATGATATTTTTAAAAATTTATATATATTATAATTTCCAAAAAAAAGAACAAATAATACGACAGATTAGATAGATTACTTGTGAATAGTAGTAGAATCTCTTCAATAAGTTGATACCATGTAATTTTTTAAGTGATTTATTTATTTATATATTATTAATTGTCGTTTAACATTTTTAAAATATTAAAATATACAAAGAAGCATCCTAAAAAAAGCATTTTATAAAAATATATTTTTTAATTTAATTAATAAATTAAAAAGCTTTAGTTAGGTAAATAAAAATCCTAACAACCAAAAAATTTGAAATGTATATAAATAGTCCCTACTTTATTAAATAGTTAATAGCATGTTTACAATATATATCCAAATTAATATATTAAAATTTTGAAATAAAAATTATATAATATGTATACAAATTTTTTATTGAATTCTTGGCACCAGTTTAAGCCAGAAACCAGACTTAGGTATAAGTTGGAATGTGGCAGCTGACAGTTCCATTGGAATTGTAGTTTTTGAGGTTTGCTTAATGGAGAAATCACGTACTAAAAAATAAATCAAGGCCTTTGCTTCTAGTTGCGCAAAACGGGAGGCTGATAATCAAAAAATAAAAATATTTAAAAATATAAATATTTAAAATTGAAATATATTTTTATATTTACCAATACAAATTCGTGGTCCTGATCCGAATGGCAAATATGTGAATGGCTTAATGTTGTCTTTGTTTTCTTCACTGAATCGTTCTGGATCGAACTTTTCTGGATTCTCATAATATCTTGGATCACGATGTATGCCAGCAATTGGTATCCAAATACTTTCACCTTTTTTAATTTCAATTTTTTCATTATCATCTTCATAAACGAAATCCTTATTACATTCACGACCAATAGTCGCAGCTGCTGGCCATTTTCTTAATACTTCTGATACAACCATGTCCAAGTATTTCATACCTTGTAACTGTTCATATGTTGGAGCTTTGCTTTTAATATCTCTTGTAAGATTTTGAATTTCTTCATAAAGTTTTGCTTGTGTTTCTGGATTTTCCATAAGTTCATGTAATGCAAAGCACACTAACACAGATGCAGTTTCGAAGCCCGCAAAAAAGAACAAGAAACACTGACCTACTATATCGATATCAGTCCACTCTCGATTGGGTTTTGGATGTTCAGATTTGATTAGACCACGTGCCTCCATAAGTATATTAATCATATCAGGTCGTGATATTTTGTGATCTACACGATATTTCATGGTATCAAGTACTAGATTCATAAAGTAATCGGAATATTTTTTATCGAATAGTTCAACTTTAAGTAACTGTGAACAAGATAAAATAATTTAATAAAAATATTTTTAATAAATTTTGGTTTTAGTGCAAATGTACCTTCATAATTGTCTTAAAATTGCCAAATAAAAAGAACTTGATATTTTGCCAGGCAGTAAAGCGAGTCACTTTCTTACCCATTACGAAAAATTCGTTATTTCTATCTTCCAGCGAATTCACTTGCAAACCAAATGCCGCAGAAGCTATAACATCACTGGTAAAACAAACACAATAATCTTTGAACTCAATTTCGATGCCATCATTGGGATTGGAATTAGTTTCTTTCTTGAGATGATTTGCTGTATCTTCAGCGACTTGATTTATTAATTGATACATTTGACGCATTTTACTGCCTGTGAATGCTGGACTTAGTGTACTTCGCATGTCCTTCCATTTAGCATCTCGCATGGAAAAAAGTGAACTGGCGAAAAGGTTTCCATCATCATTGTTGAAGATTGAACGATGGTTGACGAAATGATCAAATTCTTTGACAGTCACATGTCTTATTAATTCTGGATCACGTATCATTAAGATTGGTGTACGTTGCTCAAATACTCCATAAACTCTGAAAATATTATATATGTATTTATAATTATTATATGTATAATTAAAGTGACTTTCATAGTTGATTGTACTTTTCTAAATAAAAAATATATGATGTACTTTCTTCAAGTATTTTCATTAGATGATCTAATTGATATGCTAGATATAGCAGAAGAAAAATTAAAGGAACACCATAATGCACAAAAAAACAACTATTTAAACAAAAATATTATATAAACATAAACAAATGAATAAAAAAAATCCAATATATCAAGAAAACATCGTCAAAAAATTGGGTTTAGTACCATAAATACCAAATTTTAACTACTATAAAGATTTTAATGTTATAATGACTACAAACAACATGAGATGGTCTTATAAGTGCAATCAAACCTTATTCTGGATTTTCTTCAATTTAAAAATACCTATAGATAACAAAATAATAGCAATAATAACAATAACACCTGTTCTGAAATCTATATTTGAACTACTCGGAAACAACTCCGTGTACGTATCTCTGAGCATTACGCACAATTATAAAAGAAAAATAAATAAATAACACTAGCTTTTCACCACTTGAAAACTTAACATACTTTAGATTTCCAAAATGTGAACAGATGATTTTGGACAGAGAACACACAATGTCAAGGCATTTTACTTTAGAGAGCTTAACAGAAGAATGTAGAAGAGCATCAAAAATACAATGAGAATCAAAGATGACAACCATAAATAAAACGCGATCTATGTAAATGTATATGACCTAAGATAGAAAGAAAAGACATCAGTACTTCTTCTGAATTGTATAAAACAGGGCTGTACAGACCAGATAAGATCGCGGGCCAATACAAATCACTGAATAGTTTGGAGGGCCGCAGAAATAAATGCATACGTTCATAATTTTTCCAAGGCAAAAATGAAAAAACCGCGATAATGATAAATTTAGTTTTATTAATTCTTCACTCATTTATCTTCTACAATTCTATCACTATCACTATCACCATTATTAATATTAGTTGTTGCCATATGAAAAATATTTTATTTTTAATGTAATGTTAAAATAGTGTTCTACAAAAAATATATATGTACTAAAGTTTTTGCCAATTAAGTAAATTAACGTGAAGTGTAATTAATTATTTAATACATTTTAATTCATTTGTTTGAGATATAATGAAAATAAAATAGTGTAATGTTACTAATATTTAACAAAGAAAAATTTGCGTAATTGTGATAGATTAGAAGCACGCGGGCCGCATGACACCCGTGAGCCTTACCTTGGAAAGCTCTGGTATAGTGGTATAGAACATCGTATTGAGTTTGTTAACGTGTGTCGTACAATTTCTATTGTTTATATATATTACACATATATATTGTATATAACATAATATATAATATGTAATATATAATATATATACATATATGTAATACAATATTATATAAATTATATGCATATAGATATGCAAAATAATATAAATTTCATTCAATTGAACCAGTCAAATTTAATTAACTGAATATTACCTGTACCATCTGAAATCTTAATAATGAAAAATTCATCTTATTAATATGGTATAATATTCTATTAATGTTATAATATAAATTTGATATATATTTAAATTCAAATAATAAAAAACGTATCTCAGAAAATGTTGGAAAATCCAGTCATATTAAAATTGTAAATAAATAATAAAAAAAAATATTTGTTTATTATTTTTATTTAGTAAAACCTTAGCTTAATATAAAAAACTCCTAAATATATAAAACAAATAATCCCCTAATAACATTTAAATAATTTTTTAATTACGAAACGAAACTATTCACGTACTTGCCGTTGTGGTTTTTATACAAATCGATGATCAAATCAAACATTGACTTCTTTCGAAAAAGCGCGTCTTTCATGCTGCCGAAAAGTGGAAACGGCTTATGATACGGTAAACCTCGCTTTTCGAAGAAATCATATTTGCTCACTGACCAGCGATAGAACAGAAACAATGTAACGACACTTAAAAGCAGGAACTCGATCAACATTTCAACTTGTTTTTATTGTCGCTGCTCATCCAACAATGGTTGGAATTAAACTAAATTTCTGCAAAACAATTTGTACGAGGAGAACTGAATTCTGAATTCTTTATGATGTGTACTCGCATATGAAATAAAATTTCGAAAGCTTTCAAGTTGGAAGCTTTTAAATAAATAATTTGTTTTTGAAGATACTTTTTATCAGTTCTTGATTTTTGAATTAAATTTTATAAACAATTTTTTGCATTATGTTTAATATAGCATTGTATCACTAGAACCTAATGAAGAATTTCAGAATCAAAGAATAATAAGTAACATACAAAATAGGAACATGATATATAATGTGTTGTCTATAGATATTATGAGTATATTCATATTATTATTATATTGAGACAACGAGTTATTCACCCAAACCTTTATTAAAAATGTACTACCGTATAAACTGATACCAACAGTAAAGACAAAAAAATTTCAAAAATATTTCACTTTAATATTTAATAATGGAAATATTTTTTATAATACAGATATTGCATCAGTCAAAAATATGTACAAATTTTTTTCCATTCCCTTCTGATTCAGTTATGTTTATTATTAAATGTTATTATTAAATTTTATCCATTCATACAAATACCCGTAAATGTAATTATCGCAGATGTTTAAGAGATATTATCCGTATATTTTCCACACATAATTCTAATATATTATATATATTTAAAGCAGGAAATCTCAGGTTTATTTTATTGAATAATATTTTTTTTATTAATTACATTACTAAAATTAATTATACCTATAATATTAGAATTATAAATTATATTTTTCATTACAATTATTTCATAAGGCAACTGAGCAGATTTCTGAGACTATGTGCAATGATTGATTAAGAAGAACTGCGAAGCGAACTAACAGAAACTGAAATCAAAACTTTTAAATTTTAGACGGATTAGATTAATCAATCAAATCATCCGTTCAAGTTATCTCAAAAGGTTTGGTTTGGTAAATCAAATCATTCGTTCCAAGATAGAATTTTATTTTCTATTTTAAGAGAATATTTCATCTGTTCCTATAGAATGAAAATTTCTAATTTGAAAGGTATTTTCTTATTAAATAAAATTTTATCAATATACATGTAAAAAATAAGTTATATTTGATAATTCTTTTGTTTTTTAAATTACTTTATGTATTAAAATATAAAAGGGAAAAAGTTGACTATCAAATAATACGATAATTTATATTTATCATGATGAATTGTATTTTCTATAACATTAAAAGATTAGATAGCGACCGTGAATTATACGATTTGCCAATGTTTTCAATTCACGTATTAATATTTATTTACAAATATTTGCTTACTACTTATTTGATGTAATATATTACTAGGATACGATATTCGCTACCATTATCGATTTTTAATAATGTTTATAAAGGAAACCTTTAATTTCCATTTATTCTTATATATGTGTGAAACCTTTATTGTCTATGTCAAATTTACAGAAATTGGCATCGAATAGTTGTATCTTGGTTTCAACAAAAAAATCATATTACGTTGTATATTTGAATAGGAATAAACGGGGTACCAGCTCCCAATGGAACGAAGCACTGCGACCATGGTTGATCTGTTGTACTGCAACAGACCCTAATCGAACAGAAGACATTCCGCCTTCCGAATGTCGGCCGTTGTGGACCTCCTAATGTCAGAAGGGGAGAGTAGTACTCGACCCAGTGACCTCCTCCTGGCCCAGATCAAGGCTGGGCAGTCACAGAGAATTTGATTAAATGTCTCGTCTGCTTCTAAGCAGTGTCGACAATCTATCTCTTCCGAAAGACCCATTTTTGTTAAGGTAATAACGCAGTCCATGATGACCCATCAGCAACGTCAGCTCTGTTCTGCTGAACAAGGATACCTAACCACAACTGTAGGGATGAACCAGCTCTTTAGCCTGACGGTTATCTGGGATGTTGCTCCAGTAGCAACTTATCTCGGCTGAAAACCATTTATCAATCAGAGACCTAGTTGTATATCTCGTAGTTCAAGTTTTTATTGAGTAACCATAAACGATGTATATATAATATATAATGTATTGAGCTTATCTATTGTCCAGATATATACATATATAGTATTTTCTATTCTTTTGAAATACAATTTATACAAATAGATATATGATATATGCATATCTTTGAATGAACTATTTTGCTATTATAATAATTTTTATTGCAGACCGCAATTAGATATTTTTCATAGCGGTGTGATTACTAATACTTCTCGATATCTTATCTTAAAGTACATTTGATATATCAGTCACTATCTACGATTTTTGTTTTGTTTTACCACAAGAGGCGCTTTTAAGTAAATATAAATACAAATAAAAATATAACAAAATATAATATAATATAACAAAAATAATAATATATTTAATATTTATAATACAATATAATATATAATATAATAATAAATAATAAAATATAATAATAAAAAAATATATGCACTAAATAATTGAAACTTGTTTACTAAAATTTTTTAATCCTTCAAATAAGGTAGGAATAGTGGTTTTCACACCAAATCTTAGTTAAGTACAAATAATGTCTTCTTTTCGATATCACGGACAAACGTTATTTATATACCCAACCAGCCACTAAAAAAGATATGGAGGCAGAAGTGGTCACTGCACAGACAACGTTAAAAAACACTCAAAATTCTTACGGAAAAACAAATCTATAATTTAAAACATATCCCGAATTTTGAAGGATAACTGCATTGTACATTCAGTAAAAAATATTTACCAAAGATGTTTGTCTTCTACTTGCCACAGATGGACTTTAACGCATAATGTGGAACACAATTTTCTCCTTCTCTGCAGAACCATAACCACGACAAAAGTTTTTACGGGATGGAGTAATTCTCATTTCATGCTTTCCTTTAACGCAGTAACCTGGTGGCAATAATACAATAGTACTGAGCAGGTTTCGGTTAAGTTGAAGCAACTGACCGATATCGTCATGAATATATGATGGTTATACAGGCATTTGAAAAATTATTCATAGTACTTCAACACTGTGTAAGTTTGTTAAAGGTATTAAGTACCACTTGACTTGGTCTATACTCGTAGACAAATTCGGTAACTAATTAAAATGTGTTTTAAACTAATTACGAATAATAAAAACTATGACTCAAATTCAAATATATTTGAGATTAAAATATGAACAAATTATGTACGGAACAATCTACTATTATAATACCTTACACACCGCTAAGCCTTAAACCGGAATGCTCCATTAAATATAATTTGTTCTTTTTCTAAATAATAACAAAAACCGACCGTGAACTATTCTTTGAAAAATATCTAATAATGTATATATTTATATGACATAATGAAACAAACTTCAACAAAATATCAGAAATTAATTTATTATGTATGTAGAGTGTTTAAATATTTAATATATGTGAACTCATTTTTATTTGATGTGATGAAAAATTCAAACGACCTTAACCGATAACAAATAATAGATTACGTTTTTGTTCCCATATAAATAATATACAAATACATTGTAATAAAATACTCCAGAATATACGACAGCGACGGTATAGTGAACAGATTATTATCAATCTTAGGTTATATCAGATTACTGAAGAAAATAAAATTGTGTCTATAAAAATGATTAATGGTTTCTAAAAATATAGCTTTTAAAATATATCTCAGATGTATACTCATTAGATAGTTTGGAAAATATAGGCTGAGATATATATATAAAAAAATCTCTTTTCTTCTCTTGATTGTGAATTGGTGTTTGAGCAATCGGCTTTCTGTAGGAAGTAGAGTCTAGAGTCTACTTATAAATTTCTAAAAAACTTGCAAAAAAAAAGTTTATCAGGTGCTTTTATAATGACAACTGAACTGATATTCACAAATATAAAAGGATTTAAAAACGATATCTGCACTTACGTTTTACTACATTTTGAAGTAGTAAGGAATATTTTATCTTGAATTTTCTAAAAGTTTATCAAATTTTTGTATTTTTTGAATAATATTTGAAACAGTCTAAATTTTAAATATTAAAAAACAAATACATACATATTACGGGGATTTTGTTACTTATACAAAAATAGAAATAGAAGCTCTTCAATAAGTTCATACTATGTAACTTTTTATGTGATTTATTTATTTATATGTTAATAATTGTCGTTTAATATTTTTAAATATGTAAATATACAAAGAAACGTTCTAAAAAAAGCATTTTATAAAAATATAATTTATAATTTTAATTTATAAATTAAAAAGCTGTACCTAAGTAAATAAAAATGTGATATTATAACTCACTTCCACATAAAATAATTATAAAAATTTAATAACCAAAACTTTTGATATATATATAATTCCTACCTTATTAAATAGTTAATAGCATATTTACAATATTGAAATTAATATATTAAATATATATATATAAATTTTTTATTGAACTCTTGGCACCAGTTTAAGCCAGAAACCAGATTTGGGAATAAGTTGAAATGTAGCAGGTGACAGTTCCATTGGAATTGTAGTTTTTGAGGATTGGTTAATGGAGAAATCGCGTACTAAGAAATAAATCAAGGCCTTTGCTTCTAATTGCGCAAAACGTGAGGCTGATAATCAAAACATTAATATATATAAAAATATAAATATTTAAAATTGAAATATGTTTTTATATCTTACCAATACAAATTCGTGGTCCCGATCCGAATGGCAAATATGTGAATGGCTTAATATTGTCTTTATTTTCTTCACTGAATCGTTCTGGATCGAACTTTTCTGGATTCTCATAATATCTTGGATCACGATGTATGCCAGCAATTGGTATCCAAATACTTTCACCTTTTTTAATTTCAATTTTTTCATTATCATCTTCATAAACGAAATCTTTATTACATTCACGATCAACAGCCACAGCTGCTGGCCATTTTCTTAATACTTCTGACACAACCATGTCCAAGTATTTCATACCCTGTAACTGTTCATAAGTAGGTGGCTTGCCTTCAATATCTCTATTAAGTTCTTGAATTTCTTCATAAAGTTTTGCTTGTGTTTCTGGATTTTCCATAAGTTCGTGTAATGCAAAGCACACTAACACAGATGCAGTTTCGAAGCCCGCAAAAAAGAACAAGAAACACTGACCTACTATATCGATATCAGTCCACTCTCGATTGGGTTTTGGATGTTCAGATTTGATTAGACCACGTGCTTCCATAAGTATATTAATCATATCAGGTCGTGATATTTTGTGATCTACACGATATTTCATGGTATCAAGTACTAGATTCATAAAGTAATCGGAATATTTTTTATCGAATAGTTCAACTTTAAGTAACTGTGAACAAGATAAAATAATTTAATAAAAATATTTTTAATAAATTTTGGTTTTAGTGCAAATGTACCTTCATAATTGTCTTAAAATTGCCAAATAAAAAGAACTTGATATTTTGCCAGGCAGTAAAGCGAGTCACTTTCTTACCCATTACGAAAAATTCGTTATTTCTATCTTCCAGCGAATTCACTTGCAAACCAAATGCCGCAGAAGCTATAACATCACTGGTAAAACAAACACAATAATCTTTGAACTCAATTTCGATGCCATCATTGGGATTGGAATTAGTTTCTTTCTTGAGATGATTTGCTGTATCTTCAGCGACTTGATTTATTAATTGATACATTTGACGCATTTTACTGCCTGTGAATGCTGGACTTAGTGTACTTCGCATGTCCTTCCATTTAGCATCTCGCATGGAAAAAAGTGAACTGGCGAAAAGGTTTCCATCATCATTGTTGAAGATTGAACGATGGTTGACAAAATGATCAAATTCTTTGACAGTCACATGCCTTATTAGTTCAGGATCACGTAACATAAATATCGGAGCACGCTGATCAAATATTCCATAAACTCTGAAAATAATAAACAATTGTCTTATATGTATATAAATATGTATGTATAATATAAATATATATACATATGATATTATTGGAAATGTATAAATTGTATATTTCTTATATGCACCATATATACATTTCATTTCATAAGACAAAAAATATTCATTTGCCACAAAAATAAATTAAGTGAGATAAATAGTTGTGTAGATTAAGTGTAATTTTTAAAAATCTTTTTTACTCAATTTTTGGTTTTTATTCTTCCATAAATATAAATATTTTTTTACCGCTTTTATAAGGCGGTATCTGTTTTATCTGTTCATATTATTTATCTAATATATATAACAATATTATAATGTATTTGATTTGTTTTACTAAGCTTCTGAATCCATTGCATTTAGTTAAATACAATATTTTCATATGTCAAACTAATTCTTCTATATTCGTTTTTTTTCTTGCAGGATCCATTAAGTCTTCGATGATTTTAAAAAATAAATTATGTTTTTGTTATATAGAATAGGCAATGACAAATATTTATTACATATTAAATTGAATATTCAGGTATTCATTATATTGGGCAACTATTTTGTGCATATAAGCATATATTCTTTTTTGTTTTTTGAAATATTCAACTACAAATGTTATAAGTACATGTAATTAAAATTAAATTTTTTTTTACTTAAATTTAAAATTACAATAAAAAAGAGAATATAACACAAATATTTTTTAGTTAATTTTTTTTTAATTAAAAAATGTTTATTAAATATTATTATATTTAAATATTTGATATTTATTAGATAATTTTTTTTCTTTTCATTCTCTATTTATTATAAAATGAAATTAATTAATAATTTATTATTCAAATTCAATACACACACTACTACACAGAGCTACTCCACAATTTTTTTCACAGACTATTAATTATAATTTCATCTTAAATATTAAAAAATATTTACATCTCTTTATGCATGATTGATAATTATTTGATACGAATATTAAATATATAAGTAATATACGTAACATATATACTGCATAATATACTCATGTACTTGCATATATACATAGTATTACGCAGTTGATTTTCCAAACAACATTTTAGATTGTAATTTTATCTCAAATTCAAGTTCAAGTACAAATTAATATAAATTAAATAATTAGTTTTTACTGCACTTTACACATTAATTGAAATTAATATTTAATTACGAAACAAAGTGTCTCACTTACTTGCCATTGTGGTTGTTATACAGATCGACCACCAAATCAAACATAGACTTCTTTCGAAAGACCGCATCCTTCATGCTGCCGAAAAGTGGAAACGGCTTATGATACGGTAAACCTCGCTTTTCGAAGAAATCATATTTGCTCACTGACCAGCGATAGAACAGAAACAACGTAACAACACTTAAAAGCAGGAACTCGATCAACATTTCAACTTGTTTTTATTATCGCTGCTCATTCAACAATGTTTGGAATTAAACTAAATTTTCACAAAACAATTTGTACGAGGAGAACTGAATTCTGAATTCTTTATGATGTGTACTCGCATATGAAATAAAATTTCGAAAGCTTTCAAGTTGGAAGCTTTTAAATAAATAATTTGTTTTTGAAGATACTTTTTATCAGTTCTTGACTTTTAAATTAAATTTTATAAGCAATTTTTTCATTATGTTCGATATAGCATTGTATCACTAGAACTTCGGAAAGATTTTTAACAACAATAAGTAAAATAATAACTAAGAACATGGCATATATTGTATATTATATATATTAGGATTCAATTACATATTATTATTATATTTAGACAACGAATTATTCACTCTAATCTTCATTTAATACTAACATAAAAATTAATACTAACAATAGATTCACTTTATTATTTTTTATTTTAAATATTTTTTATAAATAATTTATCAGTTAAAAATATGTATAAACCAGGAAAAGTTATTCATATTAAGTTATATCTGTACATCATTGTCCCTACATAATTCACTTAAGAAAAAGATTTAATATTCTGGTCAGATTAACTGACCATTAATATTTCTCAGACTAAATACTTAAAAAATAAAATGTTTCTTATCTCATTTAAAATGTAATGGTTTGACTCAGATAACTAGACATTTGACAGTTTTATTTAGGTAACTTAAGGAATACATATGATCCTTAATACGAATGATCCTTAATAATGATCCTCATCGTACTACAACTGTACTTGCTTATAGGCTAAAAAATTTATTCTATATTAATCACTTAGATAAATTCCATACATAGATGAAGTGCTGTATACAGATAGAGATATTTATATCTATGTATAGATTTTATCTGAGTGATTAGTATAGAATAAATTTCTTAGCCTATTTGCTGTACTTGTAGCAAAATATCTCAAAAAAGAAACTAATACCAATCCCAATGATGGCATCGAAATTGAGTTTAAATATTATTGTGTTTGTTTTACCAATGACGTAAAAAAATTGTTCTCCAAATTTTACGACAATTGGTTCAGATTCAATTATTGTTGGTTTAAAATTAGTATTTCAAATCATCGTATAACTATTCTGAATATAAGCAATATAAGGAAAACGGTGAATAACATTCGCAGCAATGAAAGGAATGAAAGGAAGACCTGAATTACTGTAACTCCCGAAATAGTAGACTGTGGACTACTATTAATGCAATAAAATTCAATATGATCGCTTTCTTTGTTACTAAGCATTGTACAAACCACAACTGTGCGTTTCTGTTTTTCGGAAACTATAGTCTAATAGCAACACATTGCAAGACTCTCATATCTTGAATTAACTCTCATATCATCAAATGATACGCAAAATTTAAAGAATAATTTCTGCTGTATCCTGCAAACAAACGGATCAGGTAGAATCTTACAGGCCGAATACTCTGCTTTCTCTAGTAGCAAAGCTTCTGAAATAATTGATTTCAAGCAATTATCGCCATGTATTCACCTTGCTCCATATTAATGCACAGCAGCACATAAGCTAGGACTTGTGACTACAAGGAAATGTTCCTTTATATATACTACCTCTCGAACCATCTTGAAGAAGTTAGACATATAAAGTGATAATATACCAGAAATACCAGCATGTCAAAATGCAACATTACGAAATTTAACCGACTATCACATGTTTTATCAACTCAGTCCTCAGTTACTCACTCAACATTACAATTGTATAAAACAAAATTTATATAAAAAAGGAATTTATTTTAACTCCTTAAAGTTCACATTAAATATTTATTTACAAATATAGTTAACTATTTTATATAAATTAATTTATATTAAAAAATAATAATAACAAACTAACAACTTAAATAAAATAATTTCAAAAAAAAAAGTAGTACTGAAAGTAGATACAAACGAAAATTCTTATAGAAACAGCGCATACAAAGGATATGGTTTACATGTTTTTTCATTCAATGAATCCTGCACCCAGTCGACACTAATATGACGACAAGAAGGTTTATACGTTTGCCTAGGAAAATTTAAAAAAATAATTATTCATTTGGTAATTTTATTATCAATAAATTTACCTTATCTCTGCTAATTTTACATGTTCGTCTACTGATTTATAAAATGCTAAACTCGCATTTTTGGGCGTTTTAGTGACTTCACCACCATTGGATTCAAACAGTTCAATACATGTCTTGTCTTCTATGTCTTCATTGAAAAAAGCAGTTATATTTTTAAAGATACCGGATGTGTGTCTTCTTTTAACACATTTGGTCTCTAATTCAACATCTTGTTTAAAAAAGTTTAATTTCGTTTGTTTTTGAGATATTTGAACTTCATCTGCTTTTAATTCAGATTTCATTTTCTTACTAACACTAGATGCTTCGGGCTCTTCTAAATACCTTATATCTAGAGGTCTTTTAAGTTTTTTGTTACTTGGAGATTTGATGCGATTTGTCGTTGGTGAAACACTTAAGTTATGTTTATTATCTTTTGATGCCACAGTTTTAGAAATACCAGTTGCTTCTGGCTTTTCTAAAACCTTAATATCTAAAGATTTTTTAAGTTTTTTGTTATTGGGAGATTTGATGCAGTCGTTGTTTGAGTTTTTTGTTGGTGAAATGCTTAAATTAAGTTTGCTTTCTATTGATACGATAGCATCAGATATGTCCTCTTGTTTGCAATCACCTAATAACAAATCGACATTAACGTCTTTTTTAGATGCCTCAAATAGTTTTTCCAAATATTCAAGATCATTAGCCTGCTTTGCTGACTTATCATCTCGTAACTTGGTTATCCGTGGGAATCTTATTGATATACCACCAGCTGTATGTGCCTCGGATTTTGTGAACTCAGCGCCAGTTATTTCCCAAACTGGCATTTTGTCTGCACATTTTGCTATATAATCAGGCACAAGTGGTTTTTTACACAAAAACCATGTTGGTAATTTATTTGGATCAGCCCGTTCCATTAACTTCATTAACTTTTCATGTATTTCTTCATTAGTAGCATCATCTAATCCAGAATGCACTTTGGTCACAGTTTTCCATAAATGATCACGAAGATCATAACATCCCATTAGAAATATGCTAAGTATGCCACCTTTTTTCCCCGAACCATACCAGGCACCCAACACTACTAAATCGGCAGTATCAGCCATTTTCCCACCAAAGAGGTAGTCTTTTTTAACCTTAAGCCAACCACGCTTGCCAGGCTGATATGTGCCAGTAGGATTTTTTAGTACCACGCCTTCTAAATTTGCTTTAAGCACCTGCAAACACAATGGAAAGTTAGTTTATACAAAAACAAGCGTTTAGTAATTAAATTTACCTTAGCCGTCATAACTGATAACTCATTTTTTGTCTTTAGAAAGTGGCTTTCTGATAGTTGCACATATGATTGAATAGGTTTTATGTTGTTTTCCAAAATTTCTCGACGCTCACGAAATGGTCTGATTTTAATTAAATTTTGATCTTTGAATTTAATAGTTTTTTTTAAATAAAATTAACATACGAATCAGTCAAATCGTCTCCGTTGAATAAGATACAATCAAACACAAATAGACAAACCTCTGCTGCAGCATATTCCTTTTGTTTATGTGCACCTAATGTACCAAATGGTAGTAATTCACCAGTCACTGTATCAACTAAAATAATTTCTGAATCTAGTATCATATCACCACCGCCAGGAAACGCCTGAAATATAATATATATTAACTTCGACATAGCAGTGTAGTGTGTTAAATAGATACGAATGTACATAATGATTAGGACCTAAAATCGAGTAATATATAAACAAATACGTACAATAACTTTAATATTAATATAAATGACAACAGCTTTTTGTTTAAATCACCTTTGGAATAAATTCTTTAAACCGTTTAATTTTATGATCCATAACGGGTTTTAAATTTCTACTAAAAAATCTGAAAAGTTTATAAAATTAGTTGAATGAATTTAAAATGTATTCAAAACTCACTTAAAATCATTGCCTTGTTTATGAATTTGTACGCGCTCTCCATCATATTTGATTTCACTGTACAAGCCTTGAGGACTTTTTTTAAATGCTTCCTCAACGGACTTGCAAGCGTTTGCTAGCATAGGTGAAATGGGAGTCATTATTTGCACTTGCCCCACTTTAGATCCAAACTTTTTAGCAGTTTTAGCATTTAAATTTTTCATAGCGCATATATTTTTTGAAAATTGTTTCACAACTGCGGCTAAATCACGAGATGATTGATACGCTGGATATGCAAGTGGATCGAAAGCATCAAGTATGTGACGTGCACCGGCATTAATGCGTAAGTCCTGCTTTATAAAACGTATAATCTGAAAATAATCATGTAATAAAAAATTTTCCGTACAAATGTTATATGATTACCATTTTTAGATCTAAGGCAGTTGCTTGTTTACATATTGCAAACAGCAATTCCCTTTGTTCGTCCTCTTTTGATTTTAGTTCGAGTTTCATCAAATATTCTTCTACTTCCTGCAAATACAGAGTACTTTTGCTTTGCGGTTTCAGTTTTGTTGATGCTTCAAAATATTTCCGTACTGTTTCAGAGACATCACCTTCTACAAAATAATATTTAAACCATGTCATACATCTTTTTATGTATCAATCTAAGTTACCTTGTTCTAGGTCCATATGCATAGCTTGTACGTCACACGAAAAGATACGTGCAAACAGCTTTAGCATTTGCTTATTCTGCAAATTATACACTCGTTGTGAAGCGCTTGGTACTAACATCTGAACCCATAATATCATATCACCCTTAAAGTCTTTCTTATCACTCCCTTTTTTAAAGAAATTTTCCAAAATTTTTGCTTTTTGTTTATAACTTCGTTCTTCTGCTATTTCATCACAAACCCGTCGAAACGTTTCGAGTCGATTATCATCTACTTTATACATTCTTTTTGCTAATTTGCTTTGTATACAACGTGTACTTATAAATTTAGTAACCGAATAAATATTTTTAAAGTTTATATACATTAACTTTTAAATTTGTAAAAAGCGAACACTTTGTTTATATTTTGTAGAAAACTGCAAGCAAATTTTTGACTCGCGCGTTAATAAAACTGGCAGATTTGACAGTTTACAGCTGTTTATTGGGTCAAATATCGGCGCCACTAATTTAAATAAAGTCGGCGTTGAATATTTTTTAGGCCGAGTGCAGTGCCGTTACGAGTTTTATGGAAATGCTGATGAGAGAATACAGGTGGTTATAAAGCTCAATTTTATTTACTATTTAATTTTCTATCACTAACCATATAATATAAACATATAATTTTAGATAAAATTTCTTGATTTCAACATACCAACGGAGAGCAAAAATGGCAGTGATTGTAAAACAACAGATGCATTTCAAATATTGACACAAGTCCGTGGAAAATATGAAGCTACTGATCTCTTTTGCGGTTCTTTTTTGCCAAAACCAATTATGTCCAGTGGACCGAAAATAGTTTTACAATTTGTGGGCAAACATCCAACATTTGAACCAAAAATTAGTTTTTATGGTTTTAAAGCGGAATACAAATTCTTGACAAGTATTTGCTTTATGCGACAATCATTATTAGATATTAAAGTCAATATATATTTTTTAAGATTACGGCATTATAACTGGACAGCAGATGGGTAACAACTGCACATTCATTTTTAATAGCACTGATAAAAAATCAGGTTGGCTTGGCTCTCCTAATTTTCCTGGTTATTATCCACAAAATATGAATTGTGATTATTTGTTTTATGGTGAACCGGAGGAGAAAATTATTATACGTTTTACTTATTTTGATGTTGAGGGAATAGGAACGTATGTTTATTATTTGATTATGTGGAAAATGAATGTTATTATTACAATTATTATTTTTTTAGGTGCGAATACTTGACAGCAAGTGATTATGTGGAATTTTCAAACTATATGAGCACTGATCGAAAATATACAAAATATTGTGGAAAGCGTGATAAATTTGAAGTACGATCTGATGGGAGATTTTTTCGCGTGACGTTTTTTTCAAATGATCGTTTTGAAAAAAGTGGATTTCGTGCACTATATGATTTTGAAATCAAGCATACACCAGTTGAAAATACCTCTACGCAAAGCTTTGTTTCGACAAATAAATGTGTTGGAATGGTGTCAACAAATAGTCATCTTCTTATTATATACGTTATTTACATAATTTATTACAATAAATGAGCCAGTTTAAATAAAGTTTAATATACAATAAAAATAAATAAATATTATATATTAATTTGAAATGTAAATTGCAAATTTTAGATAATACTGTGATAATAAATAATGCTTTATTCTCACAGCGGGTATTTCACAGATATAAGTTATTATAGGAATAAATTACATACGTATGACCTATTTCTATAATAAATAATATGGTAGTGTGTGATTCAAAAAAGCGCGATTCCTAAATGACTTGACTGAAATAATACTTTTAAATGGCTAATTTAATAAAAGTATATATGCAGTACGTATAAAAGTACGTAGAAAATAAAGATGATCATTCGCAACTATTAAACAATTAACTGCTTGTCTTCACAACTTACTATATTGAATTCATATTAGCACTGAAATTAATAAAAAATGTCTAATATACTTGTAATTATTACTTATTTTTGCAGTAAAATAAAAATCCTGATGAAACTTAATGACTTGTGAATATAATGAACATCTAACCACAGTATCAAAACTTCGGCAATAAATAAAATTTGAAGATAGAGGTACATTAAGTACATTCATTGATGCGTTGGATGACGGCAACATTGTTATGTATACCTGCAATTCTTTGCATTTTATAAGACAACTATTTTTAATCCGTAAATTTTATATTCTCATTACTTTGCATGTTAAATAATGATATACATACATAAAATCTATATTTAATTAACGTTAGAATTTTTTAAAACAATACATATGAATTCATATTTTTGTTTTTTCAAATACATTTATCATATAATATAATATTTTGAAATAACGTTTGTATCCATTCAAGTTTATATTTATTATAACGGGTGTTTTTTTTTAGCCGAATGAAAATGATCGATATCGATTCTATAGTTTGTTAGCTGAGAATGTCAAACTCTATTGATATTTCTATTCAGTAAGGTTCGGCAATTCAGTCGTTTGACGCTAGAACGCTTCTAATTTGTGAACATTTTTTTTTAAAAAAATAAATCTGTTCGCGAAGTTCATATTGAAGAAATGTGTTCAGCGACAAAGCTCATTTCTATTTAAATGACTACGCCAATAAGCAAAATTGCTTCATATAGCAAAGATAATCCTCAAGTCGTCAACGAATCACTATTACATCCATTAAAATTGATTAGTGCGGTTGACACAACTCTGGTAGCATCATCAGTCCTTATTTCTTTTGAAATGAGTAAGGAACTGCCATCACCGTTACGGAGAATGGCGAGCGCTATCAAGTCATGCTGACTGAATTTTTGTTTCCAAATATTAATCATTTAAATGTTGACGACAATTGATTCGGAAAATATGACACAACTTGCCATACAGCGCCACATCATTGCAAAAAATAGTGAAAAATTAAACTGATCGAATGGTCTAAGTAACTCGTAGCCGCGGTGGACAATTTCTGGAAATCGTATTAAAAAAATAAATGCTTTGAAATTATCTACCAAATTATAATAAATAAATTCATTTCAACAATGTTTCTGTCTTGTATTATTTCTTTAACAAGTAAAACTAACATTGATGTATGTAATACCAGGTATGGTATTACATACTAGCTACTCATAGTAAAACTCAAGTAAAACACAAGTAAAATTTACACGAAAATTTGCTGGTGGAGCGCACTTATGCATACACAGTGTTACTCAAAGTTACTCAAAGTTACTACGAGTAGCTCGTGGAACAGACTTATTTGCAAATTCAATATTTCGTTTTTTGTGCCTAATTTCTCTATTGGAAATTTATGAGAGAGTTGTTTCTGTCAAATACAGATTTTTTATATACAACTTTGTGAGAAAATGTTCACAATTTTATTACACATTTTATTGGATATTTATTTTATATTATATAGTCTGTGATAATATATTCATAATATTTTTAAAATGATATATGAAGTAATTATATTGTATATTAAAAATATCAACATAGATACCTAACATGCTATGTAGGCAATACTGTCATCAGTTAAAAGTTTTGACATTTTAATATGACAAGAACAGAGTTGATTTTATTTTTTATATTTTGCAACATATGATATTATTTTCAGTTGGAGCTGTGAGTTTGTCGCGTTAATTGGTGTTGTGATTGTTGCGCGGTTATACAAAATATATTTAAAATCTGGCGAACATTAAATATACATTAAAGGATATTTTAATTTTAACGAAAACAATTTTTTAAAAAATTGTAATACGAGTTTTATAATAATCGTTATTGGAACATAAGTGCAGGCACAATAGTACAAATTTTACAAAATGCTGACGAGAACAGTGTAAGTTTAAATTAAAATTATCATATAAATATATCATAATGAAAATATACAAAATAATTTAACATGACATTTTTTTTTGTTTATAGTTGTATTCTTATGCAATCCTTTCATCCTTGGCCACAGTTTTTCTTTAATTCTTAAACTTTACGTATACATATTTACTAGTGACCTACTGTTGTGCCTTGTGCCAATAGCAGCTGTTACTGCTCCCCTTTTGCCTGTGATGAACTACACTATTATAGGCAAACGCAGAAGTTCTGGCGTCAGAATGTCTGCTTTCGTTTTTAATGGTATAGCATTTACTGTTTTCTCCTATTTCTTAAAATTGCTATAGACAACAAAAAAAAAACACCGTGATACATTGCGCAAAACATAAAAAATATATAAATTTTTTCATAAAATGTTTGCAAAATATTGCATAACTAAACAATATTATTCTCATCTTGGCAATATAAAATAAACAAGTAAAAATTGTGCAAAAAATCGATAAAAAATGCCGACAGCGCAGTTTTTGAACAATTTTCGTCGGCATTGGTTAGAGGCCACAATATTTTTGACAATCGCTCGGAATATTTTTGAATTTTATATAAAATTTTATATTTAATAAATACACTCAACTAATTTGCAAGTTAAATGTAATTCTATTTTTACATTTTTGTTTATGTTTTTACCCAAACTTTCAGTTCAGAAAATCTTTCTCAGTCAAGTTCAAATTTCTTGGCCGTTATATCTTATATTCGTTCTTCTCATACACATGAAATTTATTCAATTCTTCCGTTGGGCATGAGAAGATTTTAAGAGATATGCGCACTTGGTGCAAGATACTTTTTTAAAGAGAGCGACTGGTCTGCGTTGCGTATACAGTGGGTGCAGTGAGTACACCGAATACATAAATTTTGACGACAAATTATTTTATATAAAATTTCGATATATTGAAAAACCACAATTCTAATAAAACATTTTCAAAGTTAGATATTGTCTATATATAAAATATTCAAATTATATATCAATAGATGTAATAGTTACGTTAATAAGAATGGCGTATAAAATACTTCAAATAAATAATAATTACTAATAAATATAATTGGCAAACAACTTATTAACTATATCTATAAATTTCTCACTTAAAGTTCCATAAAATATTTTTAAAGCATTACAAAGTGTAAGCATTACTGTATGAAGCACTCTCTTAGTTTATATAAATCATTAATGGAAAATTTTATAATTTTTCTAATGGCTTTGAAAATGGTTATTAACACATCCATTATCGAAATTAGTTTATACCGCATAAAACTCCCTCAAAACATCGATGATTAATTTTCATTATCTAAAGCGAAATCATCGTTAACGTTTCTTTATTTTATTTTCAAAATACACAATAATTTCAATATGTCTGTATGTATGTATATGTAGTTATGTATTCATGTACTTACTCGTACACATATACAATACTGCACTGCAATCACTAAAGCGTCTATTTCTTTTAATTATACTTAGTACAATTATACAGTAAACAATATTGTGAGTACTTCGGCATTTTTAATGTTAATGCTTAAACAAAATAATTAGGTTATAAATAATTTATATATCAAATCAATCAATAAACAATTTTGTTCTAATATTTTATGTTTTGGTTTGAAAACTTTCAAGAACACAATTTATTTACTAAATTCCTACGGAAATGTATCTATATTTTTATTTTATAAACTAGAAGTTAAAGCGAAGAATATAATCTGGATGTCAAATAAATTTTATTAGTGGTCATAATATGCAAATAAATAAAAATTCACTTTAAAAAATTGTATATTTATTTATACGCCATGTATTTTTAGGGGAACTTAACCTAAATCTATCATTCTGTCCATCGGATTGTAGTTTGTATCAGGTAGAAGTTACTACTATTTAACTAGCCATCAGTAAATCATTTATCACAATAAATTAATTGGTATTCTCAGAGCAATTAACCGGTATTATGTACTTAAAAAGTGTTTTGACAACATGTAGGGTTATCTCGAAATGTCATATAGCGTTGAATTCCTCAGTTAACATGAAATGTGTTCCGCCGACTGATCAAAAGTGGCATATGAATTATATAACTTTAACTTAAGTTAAACTATATCTACAAATCTACAGATTCTGTTATCTGAAATTAACACAGCAACACATTAGTCTTGCAATCAAAGTACTGTTCAATATAATAACCGCGCCTACAGAATAATTTCTAATAAATAACCATTCCCCCAGCTAGGCGCATCTATTATCGTAACTGCGAGTCATAGTAGGAAAGAAAGTGTTCCCTGATCTTAAGTGACAGTGTTATGACATCAGTATATAATGTCGTTTTGTACGACATTGAAGATAAGTGTTGTGAGGGTCCACCCCAAGGAAAATGTTCAAATATTGGTCAGTTCTGCTTATATGGTATGAGGACTTTGTTTTATTTTTTTTTTGTTTTTGATGTTATATTTCTACTGAATTCGGTAGTTTTTTGGAATGTTATTCTTTGTGAGAACAAACCTAAGTTTCGTTCCATCGATGTTATCAAAAGTTTTCTGGAAGTCAACAAATGTGAAGTAAATGTATTTTTTTATTTTGCAAAATTTATGATAATTACATTAACTTAACATTTACTTTACACAAGCTCTATGCAAATATTATTTTTTGTACCTGTTTATTCTGCAATTCTGTGTCTTCGATATATATAAAAATAAATGAAAAATTGTTAAACTTGTAAATCTTATACTTAGGCGTTTTTATGAAACTACATTTAAAAAGTTTTAACTTATATATTTCCTTATTTACTTATTTATTTAATTATTGTATTTATAAATATTTTTGACTTCACGTTCACATGAAACTGCAGTGAAATTGTTATCATCCAACTTACACTGTTTATCAGTGATAAAAACGTAACTGCCCAAGTATGTATGAATAAATAAATAATCATAATTTTTTTCTCTAATCATTTGTGCAAATAGTAACAGTTTTTGTTGATTTTTCGAAGCTACAATATATAGAAATAAAAAATTTTACGGAAAAGATCAAAATTTATTCAAAATTTATTCAAAATTTATTCAAAATTATCTCATTTCTAACTACCATATTGAGTGCTGACGATTCCGTCATTTCACTTACACCTCATTTTCGTTACGTAAACACTGTAATTAATGACGTAAGACTAATTTTATTAGTATTTTAAAGTTCTCTCGTAAGAAGTTTGTTTAATTTAATCAGAAATGAATTAAAATTTTTATCGCTTTAATTATTCAAAGTAAATAGCGTTTTGCTAACGTCTTTGTAATCTGAAGCGCAACCAAAACGAATCGCTTTCAATTATTTTGACGAGCTGTGGGGGGTGATGAGATTTCAGCAGCGTATGTTTTTATATTGTAACTACATAGTTTCATTTCCAAGCTTTAACAATTCCTAGCTTGTAAAACGAAAAATATTCTACCAGTTACAGCTTTCATTTGCCAATTCTTTATCCCATACGCAAAAACTTGACGTTTGCTTTTTTTATTTATTATAATTTTAATAAAAAGAAAAAATGTAAATAAAAATAATCAGAGGGGGTATCTTAGAATCACAAGCTTTTATTACCAACTGCTAATACTGAAAAATTCTATAATTACGATATTCGCTCTCCAATTCTGACGTATTCTCGTCATATTATGCGGTACACATGGTATGAAAACTCATTATACGCCTGATTAGCATAGCAAATAATAGCGCGTAAAGCGGTTTACTTGCTTCATTTTCCTCTTCCTTCTCTCGTGATGAGTGATGTCTAATTAACGCTGCTATTGTTGTTGTTTTATGATTTATTTCAGCTTCTGAAATATGTGCTCTATTCGCAAGTTCATGGACTTCTATAATCCATAGGTGTATAAACGGACTGTGATTGTATTTCATGAGTAAACCAAGTCAGTCGCTCGGCAACAAAAGTATTCCATTTGATTGAAATTAGTACAAAAATTTTTTTTTGTGTTAATGGATGTGCTTTCATTTGATTCATGGATTCTGAGATTCTTAACTGTATTAGTTGTAAAAAGTTTTGTAGTCAGATGATTCTCCTACTTTAATATTTCAACAGTTATTTGCCTAAATTGTTAACAATATTTGCGTTGTTTACAAGATATAGACTCATTTCTTTTAACAACTGATGTATCACATTTAAGCATTCATTCGAAAATTAATCAATTTACGAATTACTGATTTAAACCAAATTAGTTTTTTTCATTTTGTATGTATAAAGTCAGTGTTTGCAATGTGAAATACAAACAAACGATTGAATTTCGAATGATTGAAAGTTTCAACCTAAAAGCAAGTAGATCGAGTGCGTAAGATTAATCTCTGTAGTTATTATAATTATGATTTGATTACTTTTAATCATATTTATAAAATGCTAATAATCTTTGAGTAATAAAATGTAAAAAATTAGCTTGCAAGTGCTTCCTAACGATCTTTTTTATTCCTCTTGATTGGAATGACTGGGCACAAGAAATTCTACAATTATTAAATACTACTACCTGTAGATTTTAATAAAAAAAAAGATTGAGCATTACGATTATCTAGAAGTGAGTCCAGTATAATTTTTCTGTTATTAATCATTAATTAATTCTACAGAATCACTTTGAGTACATCGTACCCGTAGTTCCGTTTTTGTAGGATCTAGTCTCTTCGTAACTTTTGATACCGTACGAAGACAAAGTGATCCTTTATTCTGTGATCTATTCACGTTACGGCAATCGAAAGAATAACACTTAAGGAAATACAGTGTCTTTGGAGGAGGAATCAGATTGAGGAAACACTAATCGCACTTGTTGTAAAAGAGTGCTGCGTCAGGCCCAATCCCGAAAATGGGTGGTTATGGCAAATTAAATAACAAGTTGTATTTATTCTTCTTAGCTGCAAGATTACAGTAATATTACAATTGCTCAAATACAAAACGATATTGGATCTCAGTTTGTTATATCATTGTATTGCATTTTTCACCCAAGGCATATAAGATATCTATACTTATCCCTAAGTTATGCATATAATGTCGAATCAAAAGGTTTTTAGTGTAGTTATGAAGGGTTTTAGAATTTCATTCCGTTATCAAATAATAATAACAGCTTCATATTTAGAAGTATTTTTATTGATTGTTGGAATTGTCACGATATTTGTACTAAATAACCAATGTCTAATCTAAATTGAAGTCTACTATTGCAATACTTTTCAAAAGAAAGAAAATGTTTAATATTCATAGTAAAAGTTAATAGTAACATTTCAACAATATTTGTTTACAAACAATTTTGTTAAAAAATTTTATTTATCTTAAGTGTTTGCAGTAATTCTGTGTAGCGATAAGGGTAATATTTTAGGCACATAATTCGGATGACATATTTAAAAAAGTCAAAATATTTTTAAACAATTTAACAATTTTGCACAATTTAATCAGTTGACATTTTTTTCTATTTTTTATTTATAATAAAAATAATAAACTGAATATGTTTTAGATTTCAAGGAAATCTGATTAAATTGTACGCCTCGGCCAGGGCAGCTCGTCTCACTGCAACAACTCAAATATTGTCTCCGTTGTTTCTAAACGCAAACACACGACAGTATCATGAAGTGGTTGGTGATACACTCTGTCCATCACAAGTAATGGGCATCGATCACATCAGAGATCCGCGCTTAAATAAAGTAAGTATCTTTGTAATGCAAGCTGCCGTGATGAACTCGAAGCAAATAAAACAATTTTTTACATTGATTGCAATTTTGCACAGCATGCATTTTTATTTACAAAAACTGTAGATTTTCAATTAAACTAATGTTTTATTATATTTCACTACAGGGCTTAGCGTTTACTCTCGAAGAACGTCAAACACTTGGCATACACGGCCTGCAACCCGCCAGATTTAAAACACAAGAAGAGCAGCTGGCATTATGTAAAATTGCTGTAAATCGGTACACGGATTCTTTGAATAAGTATTTGTATCTGACGGACTTGTCTGATCGTAACGAACGATTATTCTACCGTTTTATGGCGGAAAATATCAAAGATATGATGCCTATTGTATACACGCCAACCGTTGGTTTGGCATGTCAACGATTCGGTTTAATTTATCGTCGTCCCCGTGGTTTGTTTATAACAATTAACGATCGTGGTCACGTTTTTGATGTCATCAAAAATTGGTAAGTTTTAGAATGCATTTCTAAAAATATGCTAAATAATGAAATAATTTTATATTGATATTGCAGGCCTGAACCCGACGTACGTGCTATTGTTGTCACAGATGGGGAGCGTATATTGGGTCTTGGTGACTTGGGTGCTAATGGAATGGGTATACCTGTTGGAAAGCTTGCTTTATATACAGCATTAGCGGGCATAAAACCACATCAATGTTTGCCTATATTAATTGATGTGGGTACCAATAACAAGGATTTGCTCGAAGATCCTTTATATGTGGGTTTACGACAAAAACGTGTCTCAGGTCGGGAATATGATGATTTTATAGATGAATTTATGGAGGCTTGTGTTAGGCGTTACGGACAGAATGTGCTTATACAATTCGAAGATTTTGGAAACCATAATGCTTTTAGATTCTTAGATAAATATCGTAACAGTTTCTGCACATTCAATGATGATATACAGGGAACTGCGTCAGTAGCTGTTGCTGGCCTTTATGCTTCAAAACGTCTTACTAATATGAGTTTCTCAGATTACACTTTTCTATTTGCTGGTGCTGGTGAAGCTGCACTTGGTATTGCGGAACTTGTAGTTAAAGCAATGGTTGAGGAAGGTTTAGGACTAGAGGTTTGTATTTTTTTATGTGGCCAAATTTAAATTACAATTTAATTCTTTCTTTAGGAAGCACGCAATAAAATTTGGATGTGTGATATTGATGGCTTACTAACAAAAGATCGTCCAGATGAAAAACTTGAAGGCCACAAAAAAAATTTTGCAAAAGATCACAAACCTACAAAGAACTTGCAAGAGATTGTAACAGAAATAAAACCAAATGTATGTAAAGTACTCATTGTACACTAATTGTATAGAAAAAAGCTTATGATTTTAATTTTTGAATTTTAGGTGTTAATAGGCGCTTCCGCTGCTACTGGCCTTTTTACTCCAGAAATTCTACGTCTTATGGGTCAGAACAATAAAAGACCAATTGTATTTGCATTATCAAATCCTACTAGCAAAGCAGAATGCACTGCACAACAAGCTTATGAGAATACTGATGTAAAAATATTCTAAAGTAGTTAATATAGATGTTATAAGACGTTTTTTAATTACAGGCACGTGTTATATTTTCTTCAGGCTCACCTTTCCCACCAGTAAAAATAAAGGGAAAAACGTTCTATCCCGGTCAAGGAAATAATGCATATATTTTCCCTGGTGTGGCTTTAGGTGTAATTGCTACCGGTACTCATCATATACCCGATGAGATGTTCCTAATTGCAGCACAAGAATTAGCAAACATGCTAGAAGATAAGGATTTAGAACATGGATCATTATACCCTGATTTAAGTAATATACGGGAAGTTTCAATACGCATCGCAATGGGTGTAACGAAATCTGCATACGATTTGGGTGAGTTGAAGTGATTTACCTGTCATTGAGTAAGTCGAAGTAATTTAGCTGTAATTGAATAAGTTGAAGTAATTTAGATGTAATTGAGTGAGTTGAAGTAATTTATATAAACTAAAACAATACAAATTAAATTTTCTCTTCATAAAGAAACGTTAAGACGATACCTTTAAACATATAACTGCGAATATTTAAAATACAATTCAAAATATACTCATTAGTTTGACTAAAAATTATGTTCATATTAAAAATTATTTGGTTTCGTAACAGTTTATTTGTTGGGATTTAAGGAATTTCAATTATATGACTTCATTTCATTAAAGTGAAAAAAAATGAAGAATCAGGTATTCAGTTTTATTAGATAAAGCTAATTTAATAACTTCGAAGTTTATTTAATAACTAACGAAAATAATAATATTCAGTTTTAAAGGTATTTATTATCCGTTATTTTCAAGTTTTTTTTTAGCTACTTGTATCAATGTCTTTCCAACAGATTCAAACACGTATTTACTTAAATGAAATAAGTGGTAATATGCAAATAAGTTTGCTGGAATATAAGAAATATTTCTTCCAAATTCAAAAAGTTCTAAGAAGATTTTCATATACATAATAAACTCGATAAAATATACATTGATCTGTAGATCCATAGATTCAGATCAATAGGGACTGTTCATCACCTACAGTGGTAGAATAGTCTTGAAATAATATTCTTACATTGAACTTTATCAATGTACAATAACTAACATTTCTTCACTAATCAAACTACATTTATCGACATATTTAAAATTTAAATAGAATAGTTCTTGGTTAAGTCCATTTCTAATTTTAAATGCGTCATATATTTAATCATAAATAAACAAAGCGCAACAAAAATCATTTGGCTTAGTGAGACAAGATATCAACATTTTAAAGAATACATTTATCCGCGAATTTAGAGTTTCATTTAAATATGCCTATATTTATTTGATAAAATCAAATAAAACAAATAAAATTGAAATGATTTTAAACAATATTTTCAAAATTTTAAGGACTTGCATCTACCTATCCAGAACCACAGGATAAACGAAAATGGCTTGAGAAACAATTGTACAACTTTAATTATGACAGCTCTATGCCGGTGACATGGTCCTGGCCACGCATGCCGTATATCAAGACTCGTGAATTAGTTCCAACAAAGCTCTTTGGAGATAAAAGTGACTAATTATTTTTATTTTTCTATTTATTTTTTAGGCAAAACTAGTCCTCTTTTAAAAGCTAATTAATTAAATCGGCGCTTAACACAAACTTTTAAATGTAACGTAATACGAATAATACATATTAACAAATATTTTTAGTTTCCTATTGTAACTGTACAGACTTGAAGTGAAAACTAATCGATTAACACCGATCCATTGATCGATTAGTCAATAGCTTCCACCAAATTTATTTGTTTGTTAAATTCACTAATCAAAGTAATGTACATAACAAAAAATACTATTTTATGTAAATCGGGTGATGGAGGACCATGTGTTCGAATTTGAAAAGTATAATTTATTTATATGTAGATAAGTAATTATACCTTTTACTGATTGATAGTTTAAATTCTTGCCAAAGCGTGTTAATATAAAGTCACACCACCACCAATTTTTACAATTCATAATTTATATAAATTTTTATATGTTTATATAAATTAGTTTATATTGAATGCAAAATATTTTACTGTTTTATAGTTGGTTAAAAATATGTAGTATTTTATTGTTTTTACAAGTATATTCGTTTGTGTATTAATAAGCATTAAGTACTTCTTATTTAATTATATGTGTAATTTGTTAAAATTGGGGACCAAAAATAACAGTTATTTCAAAATGATTAAAAAAAAAGCCAGCAACAAAATTCTTACAACCTTCATACTTAATATTACGCATGCTTTTTATATATGTGAGCGTTTTAAAATAAAACTGAGCGTTTTAATAATTAAATTTGCTTTATATTATATTTATCAAAAATAATTATTATCATTATTATTATTTATTTTCAAAAATAAAAGTTATTCTTGATTTTTATATTAAAGCATATATATATTATTAAATAGAAAGCAGAGTGTAATAGTTACTTGTGCATGAAAAAATAAAAGGCACATGATAACAACTATTTTTGATAAATATAATATAAAGCAAATTTAATTATTAGTTTTTGAGTTTTATTTTAAAATGCAAATGATAACAGTTATTAGGTGATTTTTATTTTTTTAATGATAACTGTTACGGTCCCTGATTGTAATTACTTTAGTAATTTTGGTTTTGATGATTTGATTTCAATTGTATTTTGAATTCAGTTTACTTAAATGCGCATATATGAATTAATTATTTTTTACATAAAGTAGTTTATATTGAATGCAAGCTATTTTATTGAATTGTGGTTAATTAAAAATATTAAATATTTTTATAGGTATTTAACTTTGTGTATTAATGTTCATTAAATACCTATTATTGTAGCATTATTTGTATTAATTGTTATAGTTAGTTAATTTCTAATGATTCGATTACGATTGTATTTTGATTTTGTTACTGATTATAGTTATTATAACTACTTGTTAATGATCATTAAGAATCAACTGCTATAATGTATAATTTGTATTAATTACTTAAGTAATATTATTTTTTATGATTTCTATTATATTTTGATTTCTGTTCACTTACACATGTATATGTACATATACTTGTATTATTAAGTCGTAGCAACTTTTAGGAATTCTAGTAAAACAGAATATTACTACTAACATTTATATTGGCTGGGAAAATTGATAATGCGATTAATTACAATTTTGCAATAAATTTGTATTATTATTGTACATTTTTTAGACACGCTAGTATGCTTAGTAACATCAGAGCTTAAATGAATGCTTAGCTTTTATTTTTATTTGTATTACATTTTTATTTGTAGAGAATTGATTGCCTGCACATATTAGTTATTGCTTATATACAAATCTAAATTCAAATCATATTTTTTTTATTTAAGCTGATAAAAAAGAAGATAATAAAAAAGAAGATGAAAATAAAAAGAAAGAAGATAAACCTACAGAAAAGACGCCAGTACAAGCAAAAAAGTAATAGATTGACTGTTAAAACCTGCTATCCACAAATTGGCTGACGTACTTGTAATGTTTTGCTACATCCTACTGTATCAGAAACATTATAAACGTTTTTTATCCTAAATTTATTATCCGGAATTATTACTGTTATCATTTAGCTGAGCTATGACTTTTTTTACAATGTACTAATTAAATATAATTTATTTATTTGTAAAATAGTTTTTATTTATAAAATATTTTTTAGTATAATATCAATTGTTAAATTATCTAACAAATTGTTAAATACACAATTAAGATTAATTTTAATGAAATGAATTGTATTATTAATGAGAAACTAAATCTACTGTTCTAAGAGTTAAAGAATTAGAAAGAAAAAGAAGAAAGAGTTATTAATATTATTCACTTCTGTAAGAGTTAAGGATTTACCATTTTACCTCTAATACCAGTTTATAAATTTTGATTTAATCTTTACATTAATAATTATTGTATTTTCTTTCTCCACTGATCTTCGTAGTACTTAATCAGAAATAAAAACAATTTCTATTTTGTTTTTCCATCTATAAATATTTACAGTTTTCAGTTATATAAAGTTATAGGTACAACACATATTGTTTGGTATAAGCAATCCTTAAATAACCTACAAAGAAGGTGAAAAAATTTATACGTATAAATTAGATCGCCGAAAACTGAAGTAATAATTGCATTTATAAACTTTAGCTTATCTTATGTAAGTCAGCAATTTTGCCTACAAAAGTATAAATGTTTAAACTTAAATGTTTAGAGTTTAGTGTATAGTTAAACAAAAGAGAAAAAAAATATAGCAGTTTATTTAATTTCTTTTAGATTTACTTCTTAATATGATTTGTTAATATATTGTATGAACTAAATTTATATGCATATACAATAATAATGGTATATGCATTATTTACTTACTTAACAGACCTAAAAAGTAAGTACGCGTTTAACTCATACATATTTGTAAGAATTTTGTGTGGATATTGTATGAGAAATTGGACTAAATGCAACGCGCTTGTCCAGTTAAACCCAAAATACGAGTTTAGTACGATAGTTTAAAAATTATATAAATCATACAAGCAGATTGGGTATATAAACTTCAGTTTTGAGATAGAATTACCGACAGTGTAGAAATTTAGACTGTGGTACTTAAATAAACGTTCATATATTATTATTATTAATTATTTTATGGCATAATAGTATTACCAGGAACAATTTCACGTTCGTTTATATTTCTAATATAGCATCATAAATAAACCGTATATGAGTTTACTAGCCGTATAAATAAATGACAAGACTCATTTAAAAAAAATCTGTATTCTAAGTAATAAAATCCTATGTGAAACACAAAATATTTTTAGCAAGTTCGTAGTTCATAGAATGGGTTTTTATGAGACTGAAAAAATGAGTGTGAGAAATGATTATTTTAAAAAAATCACATTTTAAAAAGGCTTAATCATGTAGTAGTTCTGATTTCGCAACGCTATTTCATAGAAAGTCTTAGGTATAACTTTGAAGTGTTATCGCTACAGTCAGATGATTATTATTTTTTTTTACATGAAATTAAATATTTTGTGAATGTCTAATTTCAACAAAACAGTGCTATAAGTCATAAAGTACATCCTTCTTTAATTTTGGTGCGCGAGAAATATCCCGGACATTCAATTTTTTTTTAGCAGCTATGTGCCGCCAAATAATTGAAAATGACTAGAAAACAATACTGTAAACTGGTCCATGGAGAACATATGAATAATGTATCCCAATTTTTAACAAAATCAAGCTGAACATACTACAAAACATAATCAAAAATAATATCTATGTATGTACCTTGAAAAAAAATTGACATAGAAAACACATACACATATTATCTAAACGTAGGGGAGTAGTCCCAAAGTCAAAAATGTATACGTATACTGTCTAATAAATCCTAATCACTGACTAATCGTTAGTATCAATTAAAAGTGAATTGCTACTGTACTGTACAAAATATACATATGATGCATTGAGGCAATAACTAGTGTAGAAATCTTAAAAAATTCCAAGCAAAAATATTATGTTTGATCGCAAAAGGTATGCTACATCGCATAATCAAGGCTATCTGAGGTTATTTAACCATTCTACCCGCTGATACTAACATTTGGCCTATACATATTTACATGTCTTCAGAGTAAGTCAACAACAGATCTTCTCCGCTGATGATAGTTGATAATAGTTGAAAATAGATGATAGTTGCAAATGCATCAATTAACATTAAGCTCTCCTAAGACGTTCAAATAACTTTCGGCATACAAAATAAAATCAAAATCCTGCATCGATTCTTATAGTTTAATGCATTATTATTTATTATATCACGATCTTCTTAGCAGGCGGAAGACTCGATGCATCAGTGATTGTACAAGAAAATGTATTCAAAGTTGCTGCTGGGGAAAGCTGATGGGAACCTGCTGGGAAGTTGATGGGAAACTGCTGGGAAGCTAATTGGTAGCAGTTGGGAAGCTGATGGAAAGCTGCTGGATTTATATTAAAGTGAATTAGTAAATACCCATAGAAGTACTGTAAGTTTGTGCCAGACTACTCAAGGTAATGACATTAAAGCTAAAATATATTCATTTTACGATTTTAATTACACTGATTAGATTTTATTTATATATTCTATATAATATATTGTATAGTTTATTCTATTTTATCAATAAAATATTAGCTGGAAACTAATTTGTTTACTTAATAAATGCTGTAGATCGAAACTTTGATAGCTCAACGTAGAGTTTATTATTTATGTGAATGCTTAGTACCTGCTAAGAAAGCTTATCAAGTGAAATCATGACGTATCACACAATTAAATTGTATAAAATATAGTGCGTCTTTGCTTGTGACATATAATAGCATAGCATTGACTAGCGTGCATTAGAACTTAACTTGTTTACCGGGAATGCACCGTACATTGCTGTAAAAACTATTCGTTCTTAATTGAAACCACAATGTCTTAAATATGTATTATAAATCATTATGAATCACGTAAAATTGAGTATAAGTTTGATTATTCGATTGTTTCGCTTCATGTTCCAAATTTCACAATTGTTCTAATATTAATTGCATATTATTTATTAATGCAAACTTAGACGAATATTTCAAAATATTTAATTATTTTTGCATGTAGTTCACATCATACTTTTTAATAAATTATTACTAAATATAAATTTTTTATTCCGAACGAAAATAAATTGCTTATTACTTAATGATAAGAAAATGCTATTATCAATTATTTATATTTAGTTGGGAATTTCTGGAATTCCATCTTTAATAGTAGTCACACAGCTTCAGGAAAAAACGCGATAAGTAGTTTTAAAATAACATTTAAAATAACATAAAATAACATGTTTCCAGTGTTGGTTAACATCTTCACTTCAAATATTTTTATGAATATGTACAAAAACTAAAGTAATACATATATAAAGGCTCTCACATTACATGCAAATAAATCATATATGATTGAGTTTTTTAATAAGAGCTTATTACAAATATAGGATACGACTTTCCATTTAACTCTTGTTCTGTTTAAAGATCAAAAGAAAATATTTGTGAATATTCTTCTGCAAGTGGGTTGTTATTGGATTGCAACCGCAAACATTTATTTATTTATAACCACAAACTATAAAGAATTCCCATTCATTGCTTATTTAACAATATCTAATAGATATTTTCTTTCAGACCAGTTACCAGTATAATCAATGCTAACGGTGGAGATACTCAACAAAATCGATAAGTAACTCGAACTTTGTACAGTGCATACAAAAATTTACTTCATATAAACATGGAAGATTACCTAACAGAATGTTTTCACTGTGATTTGTATTTGACTTGTCTTAATTTATGCATCTAAATATTTACAATTTAAATTAAAACAAATAGAAGGAGAGACAGAGAGACAGCGAGAGTCAAAAATGGAGAAAGAGAAAACTTGCGCCCTTGTTAAAAATATTAAACAAAGTAGTAACAGTTTTCACTCATATCTGATGTAATCTTCATTATTTAGTCACGACTATTTGCATACTATATACATAAATAAAAAAACACCTGTTTTCTAAATATTTATGATAAATACTTTAGCTAGCATTTTACAACACTGCTCAGAATTGTTTACAAAAGCTCAATACAAAATCACTAACGACCTTAAGAAGCAGTTGCTTTTAATCTTGCGCGTCGTGTGTGTGCTGCGTGTCTGTGGCTTAAACCGTGTTAATGTAATACAGAGTTTTGAAATAATTTTTATATTCTCAAATTAGAAATTTAAAAAGATTTTAGAATAAAAGAGATTGAAATGAGATCAAACATGTTTCGAAATATTTTTACAGTTGGTAGTCTACTCATTACCTTAAGTTCCATCACATTTGCACGTTAGTAAAATATTTATATGTATCATTTATTATACTTATTATATATTTTTTTATAATTTAATTATTTGAAGAGCAATCCTGTTTTACCCCATCTGGCTCGTATGGCAATTGTGTACCTATTCGCTCCTGCGTTAAAGTCGTTAACGAACTATCGAGGTTAGGTGAAAATACACCACAAAGTTATAGAGAACATTTGATACAATCTCGTTGTAATACGTCAGATGATGTGAGTGCAAGACTTTATTTAATATATGCACATATAATTATTAATTTTAATATTATTATCTAAAATATTAACTAATATTTAACTAAAATATTAAATCACATTAAACATTTGAAGAACTATAAAGTTTTAATTAGAGAAAATACATTTTTTTTATGTGTTCAGATTCATATTTGTTGTGACTCTAATGATGATGATTATGAAAAGTCATTAAACCCAAACGGATTGCAAATTTTGAATGATCTTAAATGCGGTACAACTATTGGAGATCGTTTGGCTTTTGGTGAAAGAGCTAAACTAGGTGAGTTTCCTTGGATGGCTTTGATAAAATATGATACTGTAGAAAAACCATATAAATGTGGAGGTTCTTTAATATCCCATCGACATGTATTAAGTGCTGCACATTGCTTGGTAGTAGACTTTAATATGTAAGTAACAAACATAACAACATTTATATACATATATTTTGATATGAAATTAAATAGTGTTGGTGTACGGCTTGGTGAGTATGACTTGAATACAGATCCTGATTGTCAAAGAAAGGGACGTAGAACTGTATGTATGCCACCTGTAGTCGACTATGGCATTGAAAAAGTTTTAGCACATCCACATTATAGTAGACAAGCATTGATTAACGATGTTGGATTAATTAAATTGGATCGTGATGTTGAATTTAACAGTAAGTTATTTTTAATATTATTATATATGCAGTTTTAAATATCTCTTGTCAATTTTTTAGAACATATAAAGCCCATTTGTTTACCAATAACCAAACGTACAGCGGAAACGGATCGTGAACAATACTTTATCACTGGTTGGGGTACAACCGAAAATGGTAAGTTAAAGTTTTAAATGGGATCTTGTTACTATTTTGTTATTAAATTTTTTTAGGCACAACTGCTTCAGTGTTAATGAAGGGTACAGTTAAACACCAAGAACTTAAGTTTTGCCAAGATTTGTTCAAGCGTGTACGAATAACTGATAATCATTTATGTGTTGGGGGAGAAGGACGTATTGATACATGTAAAGGTGATTCTGGAGGACCATTGTTCTTTTTGGCACCATATAAGACATTAAATCGTTATGTTCAATTTGGGGTTGTTTCGTTTGGTGTGGCTGCATGTGGATTGCAACAAGCATTACCTGGTGTTTATGCCGATATTATACCTCAAATGCCTTGGATTACGGCAAATTTAGATTAGTAACTATTTTAAAAATAAGTTTTAATGAAAACATAATGAAAATTTTTTATTATTTTTAATTAATAGAACAAAAAAATTTTATGAAAAATATTTTTTTATAAATAAATTCCATTTTAAATTACTTTTGTATGATTAATCAATTTCTAGAAGAATGAATAAAAATCTGCACACTATATTACACTGAGATTGTTTAAGAACCTTTAAAGTATCTGTGATGAGAAAAAGCATAAGATGCTCTTCAAAGATCAGCATTGTAATAATTATATTTTGAGACTTAAAATTTATATTAATAACACTTATATAATCTATAAATATAATATTAATACAAATTAGGCAATTAATCATAATTAGCCGCGTACGTAATCCGTAATCCATAAAAAGAAAACATCAATTAAGACATTTAATAAAATAAATGATCTAAAGCGATCTAACATCGTGCTGATCTATATCTCAGTTTCTGTTATTAAAAACAGAAAAATGGAGTTATAGTATACAATCTGTGGTATATAATTACTTCTCTCTACTTATGTAGTATATTATGATTGTGTTACACATTATTTTTTTAAAAAATTTGCAAATGAGATCATCAGCGTTAATTATGACTTCTTATGAATAATACGATAAATTTGCTTTAAATATGACTTTAACTGCTAACTTAGGAACAGCATATATCTAGTTTTAGGAGGAATATATTGTATGGTTTAGAGTTTAATGAAAAGATGAATATTCAATTTCTGCTGATAAAAGTAAATATGTAAGATAGATGAGATTATATTTGTGCTACATGTAACTAAAAACAAAACTTCTTATAAACATATTTATTTTCAGAGTGGGAAAGCAATGAGTTTCAACAGCAATTGTTCTAACAGGCATAAAGGGATCATTAAGAGCACCGTAATAACCTATAAAATAATATAATTATAAATGTGGTATTGGAGTTTCTCTAGTCATCATCTTGAATCTTTATCTTGAAAGCCATTTACATTTTTACGAAATAAAATTGTTTGAAAATGAAAAAGTTAATTATAAAATTAACAGTGAAATATATAAAAAAAACTATAAATTTGGTTGATTTTTTGGTTTATTTTATTTAAATTTTTTTTATTTAATTTTGTCCATATTGTACAATAATCCTATTTCCATGTAGTATAAGTTTCAACACAAACAAATAAAGTATTTAAATTCATATTTTAACCTTTTTTAAAGAAATAAAAAAAATAAATAAATTAATATTTATTAAACAAATGAGCCGTATATCTTCTACAGCTGGGCTATCCAAAGTGGCCCACGAGCCTTCGGTGTATTGATATAACCATATTATTTTACTTTTATGGTATATTAAATAAATGAGCTTAAATTAATAAATTATTAAAACTAAATTTAACATTATAATCGTATTTATATTTTTCTCCAGAACAACTATGAACGTATGTATTTGTTTCTGCGGTCCTCCAATCTGTACATTGATTTGTACTGGCCCGAGGTCACAGTGAATGTGGCGTTATTGAAGATACATTAATCTTTAACTTGTATAAATTTGACACCTATACCACTCCGTTTATTCATCAAAAGCACTTTTAAGAAATTAAATATTGAATATATTAGTAGAAAAAAGAAAGATAATCATCGTTGATCTGTGAATTAATGCTTGTAGATTATTTTACTATTTGTATATACTTATATTGAGGTTCAATTAATGGTGATATTTTAACATTAATTTATGAATTTTATACATGATAATTTATTGCTTAAGCGAATGTTCACATTAGTTATTAAAAATAACTATAAACAATAAATTTTTTTACATCTTATTTTATATGCAAATGTTATATGTTTTAATTATTATAAATTATTCAGTATTTGTTGGGGTTTTCTGGAATTTCAGCTCTGAAATTAGTCATAAAGTTTTTCGTGCGGAAATTTGCAATAAGTGGTTTTAGAATAAATAAGATTCTTTGTGAACCTGTTTACAGTGCTGGTTAGCGCTTTCAAATGAAATCATGGGAAATACAAAACTTATGGTGTACATTAAAAATATCACTGTGATATGTATATTCAGTGGAAAACTATTTTGGAAATTATTATAAGAGTTTTAAATTCTCGCATGTCTGTAATATCACAAAAATATGCAAATATCCTTAATGAATCTTTTCTCATATCACGCTAGTAAATTTTAGAATTTTTATTTGAATCTAACTTGAGCAAACGCATCCATATATACATATTAATATTTTTGCATGACCCTTAATATTATATAGTTTTAGTTTGTATGAGGAAACTCCTTTAACTTTCGCAACATTTTTTAACATCTTACAACACTGTTTGACTTTGTTTACAGAAGCTTTAAATAAAACTTCTCTAGACCTGAGTAAGCAGTTGTGTTCAGTCGCGTGTGGCGTGCATGTATCGCTGCGAGGATCCTCTTAATACAGTTTTAAACAATATATTTAATTTGATTATTTGATTTGATTATTTAATTTGATATTCTCAAATTAAAACCGCAAAATAGTGATGGAATCTAGAGATCTTCCATACTTTCTTATAGCAATTAGTGTACTCATTGGCTTAAGTGCTGTTGCAAATGCACGTAAGTAAAATAATTATATATAATTATAAATGAAATAATAAAAATATATGTAAAGAAACGTGCCTTACTCCAACTGGCTCCTATGGCACTTGCGTACCAATTCAATCCTGTCTTGAAATTGCAAATGAAATAAGAAGATATAATGGATATCTCCCGCAGAGTTTAAAAGATCAATTAATACAACTTCGTTGTCCTGGACCTTCACCGAATGATGTAAGCGCATTTCTATTTGATTAAAATATGCGCTTTTATTTTTAATTAATTGCTTATGTGAAATTATAAATAATTTTCGCAAAAGTAATTATTTTATAATTTAAAGCAATCAGGTTTTCTTGAGAAAAATAAAAACTCGTTTTTGTTTGTTCAGATTAACATTTGTTGTGATTCTTTACCAAATAACGGTGGAGATGATTATGAAAGTTCCTTAAATCAATATGGCTTACAAATTTTAAATGACCTCAAATGTGGAGTACCTAATGGTGATCGAGTTGCGTTTGGTGAAAAAGCTAAACTTGGTGAGTTTCCTTGGATGGCTTTAATAAAATACAATTCAGTTGATAAACCATATAAATGTGGTGGTACGTTGATAACCCATCGACATGTATTAACTGCTGGGCATTGCTTGTCAGCAACCTATAATATGTAAGTAAATCGCAACAATTTAGCATCATATATTTTTACATTTAATATAAATAGTGTTGGTGTACGTCTTGGGGAACATGATATGAATACAGATCCTGATTGTGAGAAAAGAGGCCGTAAATTTGTATGTATGCCACCTGTGGTCGAATATGGCGTTGAAAAAATTATATCGCATCCAGATTATAAGAGACGAACACTGGTTAATGATGTTGCGATCATTAAACTGAATCGTGATGTTGAATTTAATAGTAAGTGCAATTTTGATATTTTTTATGAAAAAATTCACATATTAGACACTATTTGTTGTATTATCTTTATTTGAATAGAACATATAAAACCAATTTGTTTACCTATAACTAAGCGTTCAACAGAACTGCAAAGCGAACAGCTTTATTTAGTTGCTGGTTGGGGTACAACTGAAAATAGTAGGTGAATATTGGAGGTGCACCTATTTACAATATTTAATGTTATATTTTTTGCTAATTGTGAAGGTACGAGTTCTTCAGTGTTAATGAAAGGTTTAGTTAAACACCAGGAGTTGGGGGTTTGTCAAAATGTATTTAGACGCATGCGACTAACTAATGAACATTTATGTGCTGGGGGAGAAGGTCGTATTGATGCATGTAAAGGTGATTCTGGTGGACCATTATTTTTCATGGCGCCGTATAAAACAAGTAATCGGTATGTGCAATTCGGTATTGTCTCATTTGGTGTGGCTGCATGTGGCTTGGAAGAAGCATTACCTGGTGTTTATGCCAATATTATACCGCTGATGCCTTGGATTACATCAAATTTAACATAGTTATGTTAATAATAATATAGTTTTTAATAAAATAATTTATTAATAGCTTTAAATGAAATATTAAAGCCAAACAATTTTTATGAGTCTTTTTTATATTTAAAATTTTTCATATAACAAAATCATTTACAAAATTTTAAATCCTAGTCTTGTACATTTTAATGAACAACCAGCAAACATACCTAAAAATTTATATAAATACAGCAATTATATTTATATATAAATAATATAAATAATTAAGCTTTATTTATAATATAGATATAATATATAATAATCTATTTATTTATAATATTACAAAAACAATTTGTTATTAAAATAAAAGAAATGAAGAAATTGTGATTTTTAAATCTAAATCGTTTTTTTTTTAAATAAATTCAATTTCTTAAGCATTGCATGGACGATGACGAAGAGGAATCACCAATAGACCTTCTGTTACAGTGTCCTGATTTCGCAAGACGTAGACTCTCATACTTAGGGTCGCACTTTTTCAATTCATTAAGAAAGCTAAATCCTATTTCCCTAGCTCGTGTCGATACTAGCTCGTGGCCAGTACTAAATGGTTATAGTGACAGGTGTTAAATTTTTAAGGGTAGCGTTTGAAAGAATCACCACCTACTGTTTATACAAATATTGTATATCAAATACCTTGGATGACGACAAATTTAGTTTAAAGGAATATTAAAAAAATTTAATGTTTATTTAATATAAATAGTTAATATTAATAAAAGTACTTCAGAGTGGTAATCACTTTTAAATGCAAAAATTTGTCAGTTGACTTTGCCAGTTCACATTTTGATATAAAATGGTTTTAGAATACATTCCATTTAGAATATTCCTGATGAAATATCTCCATTCAAAAGTCTTTTAAGCAATGAAATTTTTCAAGATGTAGAGTTTAACAAGTCTCTTCCATCAATATTCAATCAATAAAAAGTGAATTGCTACTATGCTGCATAAAATATACATGTGACGCATTGAGGGAATATTTTTATAAAATATTAAAAAAATATTCATTTTACGATTTTAATTGCACTGATTAAAATTAATTAAATAATTTATTTATTAATTTATTCCAGATATTATATAGTTTTTTTTATTCTATTAATAAAATATTAGCTGGAAACTAAGTAACTTGTTTACTTAATAAATGCTGTAGATTGAAACTTTGATAACTTAAAGTAAAGTATATATTATTTAATTATTTACGATTTTATGTGAATGCTTTATACCATGTGACATATAATAGCATAGCATTGACTAACTTGCCATAGAACTTGACTTGTTTACCGGGAATGCACCGTACATTGCTGTAAAAATTATTCGTTCTTAATTGAAACCACAATGTCTTAAATATGTATTTATGTGTTATGAATCACATAAAATTGAGTTTAAGTTTGATTATTCGATTGTTTCGCTTCATGTACAAAATTTCACAATTGTTCTAATATTAATTGCATATTATTTATTAATGCAAACTTAGACAAATATTTCAAATGAATACTTAATGATAATAGAATTGTTTATATTTTGTTGCGAATTTCTGGAATTCGATCTTTAATATTAGTCACACAGCTTCACGAGAATACGCGATAAGTAGTTTTGAAATAACAGCTTGTTTCCAGTGTTGGTTAAGATAAGTTTAAAATGCGTAATAAAAACTATGTATTAGCATTGATATGAGAAAGAGCTATGAAATAGTGAAAATACTTATACCTTCGAAGCGAGTGTATCTAACTCAATAAAGTTATGTAGTCCACAGGATATCTATTTCATAAAAATGGACACCTCAAATACAGAAAAAAATATTTACACAATATGGAATGAAAGAGACACAATGATAGAAAGAGAGATTCCGCCAACCAGTCTTGCATGCATTGGGTAAAGTCACTTACGATGTCACGTGAGACATTTCTAATGATCAAATATATCAGCGTATTATGTTAACTTATTTGTGATTCTCACTGCACACATTATCAAATATTTTCGTCCACTGCGTTTGGTTACAACTTATCGTATTGGTGTGTTCTCGCTTCATAAAAGATATTTTGTGATTATTTTTGAGATTTGTATATTCCAACCATATCCAATACAATCACATTAAAGCCTGAATACCCTTTATAATGTAAACTAATATCTGATCTAATTTTTATCACTTAGTGCTAAACAGTGCTGTAGACCTAACACTTTACAACACTGTTCATTGTTGTTTACAAAAGTTAATACAAAATTACAAACGAACTGTACAAAAAGTTGGATTTAGTTCCGCATATCATGTTGTAGTGCAATGTGCGGTTTAAAGTGTGTTTATATAATTGAAAGAGTAATGAAATAATTTTTATATTCTCAAATTAAGAATTAAAATAGTTTTAAAAAGAATAAATGATCGATATGAGATCGTACAAGCACCGATATTTTTTTGAAGTTATTGGGGTATTGATTACTTTAAGCTCCATTGCAAATGCAGGTTAGTCAAATAATTATATTACATATTTATTATATATTATTATATTTTACTTATTATATTTTTATTTGTAACTCAATTATATGAAGAGCAATCCTGTTTTACCCCATCTGGCTTATATGGCAATTGTGTACCTATTCGCTCCTGCGTTAAAGTCGTCAACGAACTATTAAGATTCGGTAAAAATGCACCACAAAGTTATAGAGAACAATTGATACAATCTCAGTGCACTGGATCAACGCTAGAAAATGTAAGTGCAAGACTTTGTTTAATAAATACACATAAAAAATTATTAATTTTCTCTGTAAATGCATAAAAAATGCATAAAAAAGAATTCCAAGAATTACAAAGTTTTAATTAAAGAATGTATATAGAGTCTTTGAACTAAGTTTGACATTCTACGTAAGCTTAAGTGAAAGGAAGGGATTTATTGCGTCATATATATTTAAGTATATATATATTTTAAATTTCAATGACTATAGTGGTTTATAGTATAATATCTGAAATCTTTTCAGTTCTTTTAAAATATTTATAATATACAATATTTGTAAAAAGTAGAGCAGTCCACATATAATTTCAATGAATAGTTGAACAGAACCTTTCCTGAACAAATAATCTACACATAATCTAAACTACACATTTTTGGATTTAGATAATTTTTATATTTGCAAGGTATGACATCATTTTTGGGCTTAAGTCATTTAGTCACAGAAACAGTATTTAAAAGAAGGTCAGAACTGTTATTGTTAATACCAACAAATATAGGATTCCAAACATTCCATTGCAAAAGTGAAACGGTCAAAAACTAACTCTTTCACACAAAGTTGAGTATCTAGGAGTAATTCTTGACTCAACGCTTAACTGGAGTGCCAACATTGACGAAAGAATTCGCCTAATATGTGTGGCCTTCTATGCGTATAAAAGGATGTATGGTAAAACTGGTCCGTTGTTCGGCCAATTTTGACATTTGGTTGCCTGGTGTGGTGGCCGTCGGTGTATAAACAGTGCATTGCTCAAAGGCTGATCAGACTGCAAAGATTTCTTTGGATGGGTGCAACGGGAGCATTGAGATCGTGCCGCACAAAAGCTTAAAGATTTAAATTGTTGTGTTCGGACATGGTAACATTTCATCACTCTATCCGATGGATGAGAATAGTGAATCGGACTACCTGTGTCCTCGCTTACACTTCGGCAATAGCTTTACTACCCGAACTCCTTTAAGAGAGGGATTGGAAGCAGGGCTGCTTACAACACTAGAAAAGATAACGATGCATACCGACGCACAGTATGCCAAACCAGAAATTAGGCGATCAAAATTCGATATTTTTAAAACCAGTAGAGTTATTTACATAAAATTTATTTTTGAGATAGCCTGTATTTGGATCTAATTTGAGCCCAATTGGCCTAACGAAACATCTCCAAATTTTAGGTGAAAAATGTTACGTTTTTACAATTTCTTACTAGAATTTTGGTGCCCAAAAAACCTACATTATAATATATATGCCCAAACTTTTTCATGGTACTCCTCCCAATGCCACTGTCATACAAAATTTTCATAACAAATCGTTCATTATCGTTAAAAAACTTTTTAGTCTTATTAGATTATAAACATTTATTACATACAGTTCTTACGGTATTTGCAGTTTTATTCAATTTTAGCGAAATGCGATTTCGCAAAAATTGGGCCAAATTTAAACCCTTATAACTTTTTTACTACTTATTCAAAAGTGACCATTTTCGATTTTTTTTAAAGCTTCTATTTCCGTTACCCAAAAAAGTTACATAAAATTTTTTCTACTAATAGCCAAATGGTAAAATTACGCAAAAAAAGAACTGCGTTTTCTATGTTTTATACCTATTTCAGGCCCCAGAAATTACTGAAAAATTACGCAAAACGTGATCTTCAATAACCCTTATTTATTTCAAAAACAAATTCAATAAGTAATAATAAAAAGACATTTATTAGAGATTAGAGCATGTAGAGAATGTAGAGAATTTATTTACGTATTAAGTGAAAGGACCAAAGTAACTCTAGTTTGGGTTCCCGGGTATTCTAATATAGTTGGAAATGAGTGCGCAGATGACCATGCTAGACTGGATGCTTCTTCTACGGATACCCCTATTTCAATTCCCTGCAGTCGAAGGTTGATTTATGACCATTTTTTGACACAGGCTAATAGTGGTCCATACTACCTCAGCATTCAGGTCAAGGGATACATGGTCAATCTATTTTAAATCCGGAACCTCTGATTTGATGCACAGAAGCAAAAGCCTGGCCAGAACTAGGTTTAGATTTTTGGAGGCTTCCTTCTTTAACGCACTAAGCGATATCTCCAGTGTTAGCATTAATTTTAATCTTAAATACAAAAAATTACATTAACATTTCATAAAAAATTCTTTTTTTCTTCTTCTTATATCTATTACAGTTTAGCGATAATATAAGCATCTGTTGTGCTTTTACCGATAATAGCATTAGCATCAGTGAGCGACTAACAGATTCAGGCGGCATAAATCAGAGAGGCCTAGATCTTCTCCACTCGTTAAAGTGCGGTATAAAAAAATTTATTCGTATTGCTGGTGGTACACCAGTACCATTGGGTAATTACCCTTGGCTGGCGTTGTTACGTTATGAAGCAAACACGAATCCATTCAAATGTGGTGGTTCTTTAATAACTCATCGTCATGTCATAACTGCAGCTCATTGTGTTGTTAAGTTTCAATTTAATATGTAAGTCAACAACAAAACTATAACTTACTTTATACCTTACTAATTAAATTATTTTTTTTTATTACTAATATAGAGTCGATGTACGTTTAGGTGAACATGATATAAACACGGATTCATCCTCTAAAAGTTATGGCATTGAAAAAATTACCGCACATCCAGATTACGATAGTAATACATATTTAAATGATTTGGCCATCATTACTTTAGATCGTACAGTTAACTTCAATAGTAAGTTTAAAAGTTTGAATATATAAAGCAATCAAAAAATCTATAAATATTTTCTAACCATTCAGAACATATCAAACCAATTTGTCTACCCATAACCCCAAGTTCATTAGTAATTGCAAGAGATCAGGAATACATCATTGCTGGTTGGGGTATTACAGAGAATGGTAACAGAAAACTTCTTTCATGAAGATTACATGACTTTACCTATTTTTTTGTTTACCAGGCACAACATCTCCAATACCATTGAAAGCAAACGTTCCTCACCGTGATAATGATTACTGTACACAAATTTACAGAGGCTTAGAGATTGCAAGGCAACAAATTTGCGTTGGTGGCGGCAGTAATATCGAAACATGCGCCGGTGATTCTGGTGGCCCATTGTTCTTTAATGCAAACTACAGAGGTACAATAACTCGATATGTACAATATGGAGTTGCGTCACTAGGCGGTGTTGGTTGCGGTCGTGTTACGTATCCTGGTATTTTTACAAACTTGAAAGAATTCATTCCATGGATTACAAATGTCATCGCCTAAACTACAAAAAAATGACGCTTACATTTTAATACTAATTTAGTCAACAAATTTTATTTTTTACAAACTTTTGCATTTCTTGCCATATAGAATAACATACACCTGCCTATATAATAATACCAATATTTAATGTTTATTTTATATTTATTTATTTAATTACACTTATCAATTATGTATAATTATTAAATAATATAATTTATTTATTATATAATATTAAAGAGCATTTCCAAAAATGTTATGTTTTGAATTCTTTAAGGAATTGACCAAGGAAACACCAAGGGTACTTGCAGTGACCCTTTTAACTCTTATTATAATAAGAATATTAATGCATAGTTTCTGCAAATATATTGAATACAATTAATGAATCTGAATTATGTTCCTGCTAAGGTCTGACATCTGCTGAAAACGGTATTACTTACTCGTCTATTTAACTATAGAAATTGGTAATGTAGTTTGAATAGACTAAACTTTTATTTTTACTTGGTATGATTTTAGCGAACGCCATTCGCATAAGCATTTCAGTTTATACCTCAATAAGAGTTGACCATTATTGATGTCATGCATATTATGGAGCTTATATTAGAAAATTGTTTCAATATTTCAGAACTGCAAACATTGTGTAAACTAGATTTTGTATTTATATGGCTACCGGATTGGGGTTCTTTTCATAGACTATTGTCATTTCGATTTCAGGAAAAGTAGAGACAAATAATATAACCCGCTCATACAATCCGCATGCCTTCCAATAGTGTTGGTGACATTCCCCCATCAGCTTTGGTCTAATTGAAGCCTGGATGACTGGTTGAATTACCATTCGACAGCAAAGGTCAAGTAAAAGACAATTCATCCACTTTCACTTCAGTCCGACAGGTTTACCCATTCTCATATTGGTCGTCAGCATCATGTGTCTAGACCAACTAATCCAAGCTACCACTGTTGTCTTTAGCAATTTCTTACACAGTGTTGGCGATTTGCTAGAAATTTTTCCATCAGCATTGGCCAAATGGAAATCCAATTGCTGATTATGTTACTTCTCGTCTGCTCAGTTTTTGTAGCAGCTCATTCACCACTATATTGAATAAGAGAGATTACGCCCCCTTGTGGAGTGATGAACCCATATTTGCTTTAATATAATAAAGCTAATAAAGCGCATCATCAACACCCAAACGCGAGAGTACGCTTGCTATGCACTAGAAAGAATGTTGTTAAAAGCTCTTTCAATATCTATAAAAGTAACCATACAAAATTCGTTTAATTTGAGAAATTTTTCATTGATGTGAGTGAATGGAACTCTTCTGATCGAATAGAGGGAGCTGGGAAGGAAAAGGATATGTTAACGTCCATATCCATCAATGAATCAGAGGTGTTGGCAGGCAGAATTTCTACTGGAATCACTTAAGCTGCGGGAGCAGCTTTATTGTTGCCCACTTTCGTTTGGATGCAAACAGTGTTTTGCGGTGCCACTGAACCCATTACATCCGGTAAGGATTAACCTTATCCTATTTACAGTTAAAAAACTATCACGGTGTTTTTATCGATGTTTACATAACAATTTAATTTATTTTTTATTGCTCTAAAAGACTAACTGAACACACACATTCCCACAACTTCGCCATTGATCATATATAGTCCTAATAGGAAGGGACCTATTCTTATTTTGTAATATTACAAAATATTAACTTGGCTTATGCTCACTCATCTTGAATAGTAGAACTCGATGTGTAATGGAAAATATCTATCTAATAAGAGGCTTAAATCCTTTTAATATTGAAAATGTTTATAGAGGAGATAGAGAAAACTTTTATTTTAATTATTTTTTATTTTAATTTATTTATTTTTTATATATAATTCATTTTTTTCCTAAAAACAAAAGAAGTAATATTAATGTAACAATATCGGATTTATTAATGTATTAACTGAAGTTTACGTTCTTCTAGTTCCAAAATTGCGTAATTTTACTTTCTCTATATATTCTATTGTTTTAAATATTTCAAACTAATACTCTAATTTGTAAAAAAACTCTTGTGAATAAAATAAATTAATAAAAATACAATCATATTAAATTTATTATAATAATTTTATTAAAATATATTCGAAAAACTAATCATTATTTGTTACTTAATACATATTAAATTAACAATTTGCTCGGGAAAAATTTGGTACGAAAAAGGGGAAAAAACTCCCATTCATCTTTCATTCAAAATAAAGGAAATGGAAAAAGAGAAAAAACTCCCATTTAATTCAGAGTAGGTGTGTTTAGCTGGAAACTAAGTAACTACAGCATTTACTTAATAAATGCTGTAGATTGAAACTTTGATAGTTCAACGTTAAATGTTTATTGTTCAATTATTAACGATTATATGTGAATGCCTAGTATCTGCTAAGAAAGCTTATCAAGTGAAATCATGGCGTATCACACAAATAAATTGTATAAAATATAGTGAGTCTTTGCTTGTGACATATAATAGCATAGCATTGACTAGCGTGCATTAGAACTTGACTTGTTTACCAGGAATGCACCGTACATTGCTGTAAAAATTATTCGTTCTTAATTGAAACCACAATGTCTTAAATATGTATTATAAATCGTTATGAATCACATAAAATTGAGTTTAAGTTTGATTATTCGATTGTTTCGCTTCATATACAAAATTTCACAATTGTTCTAATATTAATTGCATATTATTTATTAATGCAAACTTAGACAAATATTTCAAATGAATACTTAATGATAAGAGAATTGTTTATATTTTGTTACGAATTTCTGGAATTCGATCTTTAATATTAGTCACACAGCTTCACGAGAATACGCGATAAGTAGATTTGAAATAACAGCTTGTTTCCAGTGTTGGTTAAGATAAGTTTAAAATGTGATATAAAACTATGTATTAGCATTGATATGAGAAAGAGCTATGAAATAGTGAAAATACTTATATCTTCGAAACGAGTGTATCTAACTCAATAAAGTTATGTAGTCCACAGGATATCTATTTCATAAAAATGGACCACACCAAATCAAATTTTACACCTCAAATACAGAAAAGGATATTTACACAAGATGGAATGAAAGAGACACAATGATAGAAAGAGAGATTCCGACAACCAGTCTTGCATGCATTGGGTAAAGTCAGTTACGATGTCACGTGAGACATTTCTAATGATCAAATATATCAGCGTATTAGCTTATTTGTGATTCTCATTGCACATTGTCACATATATTCGTCCACTGCTTTCGGTTACAACTTATCGTATTGGTGTGTTCTCGCTTCATAAAAGATATTCTGTGATTATTTTTGAGATTTGTACATTCCAACCATATCCAATACAATCACATTAAAGCCTGAATTCCCTTTATAATGTAAACTAATATCTGATCTAATTTTTATCACTTAGTGCTAAACAGTGCTGTAGAGCTAACACTTTACAACACTGTTCCTCGTTGTTTACAAAAGTTAATACAAAATTACTAATGAACTGTACAAAAAGATGGATTTAGTTCCGCATATCATGTTGTAGTGCAATGTGCGGTTTAAAGTGTGTTTATATAATTTAAAGAGTAATGAAATAATTTTTATATTCTCAAATTAAGAATTAAAATAGTTTTAAAAAGAATAAATGATCGATATGAGATCGTACAGGCACCGATATTTTTTTGAAGTTATTGGAGTATTAATTACTTTAAGCTCCATTGCAAATGCAGGTTAGTCAAATAATTATATTACATATTTATTATATTATATTTTACTTATTGTGTTTTTGTTTATAACTCAATTATATAAAGAACCATCGTGTTTTACGCCAACTGGGTCCTATGGCAATTGTGTACCTATTCGCTCCTGCGTTAAAGTTGTCAACGAACTATCGAGGTTAGGTGAAAATACACCACAAAGTTATAGAGAACATCTGATACAATCTCGTTGTACTGGACCAACGCCAGATGATGTAAGTGCAAGACTTTATTTAATATATGCACATTATTAATTATTAATTATTAATTTTCTCTGTAAATGCATAAAAAATGTTTTCCAATAGTAATAAGAATAATAAACAATAATAAGAATCTCAAGAACTATAAAGTTTTAATTAAAGAAAAGTAAACATTTTTTTATGTGCCTAGATTTATATTTGTTGTGATTCTAATGAAGATGATTATGAAAAATCCTTAAACCCAAACGGATTGCAACTTTTAAATGAACTTAAGTGCGGTCATGTGGCTGCGAGGGGAACCAATCTAGGTGAATCTCCCTGGAATGCTTTGTTAAAGTATAAATCTTCAGAAAAACCATATAAATGTGGAGGTTCTTTAATAACCCATCGACATATATTAAGTGCTGCACATTGCTTGGTGGTAGACATTAATATGTAAGTAACCAATATAACAACATTTATATACATATATTTTGATATGAAATTAAATAGTGTTGGTGTACGGCTTGGTGAGTATGACATAAATACAGATCCTGATTGTCAAAGAAAGGGACGTAGAACTATATGTATGCCTCCTGCTGTCGACTATGGCATTGAAAAAATTATAGTACATCCATATTATAGTAGACAAGCATTTATTAATGATATTGGATTAATTAAATTGGATCGTGATGTTGAATTTAACAGTTAATTTATTTTTATTTACATAATATGTGCTGTTATAAATATCTATTGTCAATTGTTTAGTACATATAAAGCCCATTTGTTTACCAATAACTAAACGTACAGCGGACACAAATCGTGAAAAATACATTGTCACTGGTTGGGGTACAACCGAAAATGGTAAGTTAACGTTTTAAATGACATCTTGTTTCTATTTTGTTATTAAATTTTTTTAGGCACAACTGCTTCAGTGTTAATGAGAGCTGTAGTTAAGCACCAAGAACCTAAATTTTGTCAAGAATTGTTCAAGAATGTGCATATAACTGAAAATAATTTATGTGCTGGAGGAGATACTTATGAAGCATGTACAATTCAATCTGGTGGGCCATTGTTCTTCTTGGCACCATATAAGACACTAAATCGTTATGTACAATTTGGGGTTCTTTCGTTTGGTATGAATAAATGTTATTCGAAGGCATATCCTAGTATTTATGCGGATATTATACCTCAAATGCCTTGGATTACAGCAAATTTAGTTGAGTAGTTGAGCGATTTTTTTATAAAATTATTTGAATTATATTACTTTATGCTTTTCATTATTTTTAATTAATAAAACAAGAACATTTTTATAAGGAACAGTATGTGTTGAATTTTAATATATACATTGAATAACATTTACATAGTCGTTTTTTCCTGAACGAAACTCAATAAGTAGTTATGTTTCTATTGATAATGTTTATTTTGAAATAATGTCCATAATAAAAAAACTAAATATTTTTTTAAACGAAATCTAACAAACTAACCCAAACTTTTTAATTATTTGCCAATGAAGACTTTATTGACAAGTTTACTCATGCGTACTAGTTTGGAATTCTCCAACACTTCAAATATTTGAAAATTATAGATCTATTCAAAGGTGTTCTAGCTAAAATCAATACTTCTAACAATTATTGAAACATTAGTGTAAGTAATTAATTAAAATTCCGAAACACACGGAAGTTTATTCCATGTGCAGAGATCATCTTAAAACAATTTGAATAAATTTTATTTATTTTTTCTAATCAAACGTACATTAACTAATTTATTGACTCTTATTAAGATCAAGATCGGTTATACAAACTAGAGAAATAATAATTGAATCATTACTTACTATATAGTTGTCTTTCTTCAGATCACAGATTCAGAACTTTATGATATATTAAACATTTATTATTTTTGTTTCTCTTGAATTGGAACTGTGTATAGATAAAATCTATTTTGAATTAACTTTAATGGATTAATTGTTACAAGGCAGTAGTGAAAGAAAGTCATTCAATACATACAATTATAAAAATATATATGAAGTGTGTTAGTTTCAAAATTAATTTGATTTTTTTTTTCTTTTGTATTACTAAAGAGTAAAACGATATTTGTAATAAAATCATCTTATTAGGGAAATACTTAACTACTCATATGCTTACACTTCCAGCAATGCCATGCATCGAGTGTATTTTGTAGTTTAAAATTTTCAAGTCAGCCTCAGATGCTTTTGAGATGGTCAAAAATACTAGAATTAAATATCTACTTATACAACATTAATCAATTATTTTTAATTTTTTTCTACTGAAATCACTGTCCAGCAATAAAGAATTGAATAGAAGATGGGTCTTTTGGTTAGAATTGGAACTAATTATGAATTTAGCTTTTTATTTTATGCGTACACAAAAGTATTTAATAAATATAAAAATAAATGATAATAATTATAATATAAAATAATATTTCTTATATTTCACTCAGTGCTATGTATTGCAATTATAAATTTGAGATCATAAAAATGATAATTTCATGACACAATACAATACAATTTCACATCACAATACAATATTTATCACAGTACAAAATTACAACTGGTGTAGTCCAATGTATTACAGTAATGTGATTAGCCTTAGACAAAATATAATATTAGTAATGCTGGATAATTATATTAGATTCAACAATAGGCCATTCATTGCCATAGACTGAATGCTTCATTGATTACCACTTGGTTTTATAAACAAGTCAGTAACTTGAGGTCTTTTCAGCTATTAAATATATGGTTTTCATTCCTTATGACTACATTCACAATTCAATCCTAAGTCTCTTTAGTTGCTCTTCAGGAAACATTGATTAGATTATTACATTCTTGATCAGATATAAATTTTTCTGTTGATTTTCCAGCTAGAAATATCTAGCATAACAGGTAGAGAAATGGATCTAACTTTATAAATATTTGAATGACATTACACACAAAATAATATAATAGATTAGTTAGTCGTCTTATAGAAACTGATATATAAACAATATGTAATAAAGACGTTTTTCGAACAGTAGTGAACTACAGCAACAAAAATTCATTTCATATTATTATTATTATTTCCATACTCCATTACGAGTTTAAGGAGTCTACAAAAGTTTCCCACTGGTTTCTCTCCTAAACTGCTAAACTGTCCTTCTCCAGGTCATTTTATATTATTTTTAATTAATTGAATTTTTTGCTGACCATACAGCTGTTTCAAGTATTGCAAAATACCCATCATCAGTGGTCTTGGAAATAATTCTTGTATTATTATTAATTATTCGTAAATAATTTTCTGAGACCGCAAGTACCAGGAATCGAACTCTTGTTCTGCCAAATTTGAAGCTGAGAGTCATATATATAATATAATTAATAATATTAATCACACTTCCATATGTGGTTTATATACTTATTCTATTTCGATATAATGAGTATATTATAATTTTGACAAAATTAGTTGTATTTTAATAGTTAATATTTTTTGCAATATGTTCTCTTTATTTAAAGTAATGTGATTTCACATCAAAGTAACAAATCTCCGGAAAAATATGCAAAAATATGCGAACATAAAAGTCAAGTACGGGCTTGGGTCAGTTGGATAAAATGCGCTGACTCTGAGCTACAAATTTGACAGGACACAAGTTCAATTCCTAGTACTTTCAGTCTCAAAAAATTATTAAATAATAATTAAATACAAGAATTATTTCCAAGACCACTGGTGATGGGTATTTGGCAATACTCGAAACAACTGTATGGTCAGCCAAAAATTCTTTTAATTAAAATAATATAAAAAGAATTTTTGTTGTTGTAGTTCACTACTGTTCGATACACCTAGTAATGCGATTAAGTTAATGTTTTATGACGCAAAATTAAATGGATTAATTGATTTGTAATTTTATAATTCTTTGTAAGGCTGTCATTAACATTAATCAAGTTAATTATTGATAGATATTTAATAATAATACGCATAACCAATTATTGTACTTCCTAGATAATGTTTCAAATCAACTGATACAAATTGTTTAGAGGAATGGATTTTGAAAAACCTAAAAATTAAAATAACAAACATAAAATTTGTATAAATAATAAATAAATTTATATAAATAAATTTCAATAAATTGCAGAACGAAGCATTTCACTTAATTATACGTAAAGCACAAGATGCAGATTATTTTCGTTCGTGCATTTCATCTGTAAAAGCAATTATTTTCCAATATTGAACTTGTTTTGTTGTCTTGTGTCTTGTTTGTTTATATGATAAACTTGTATCTGAAGTTGTCATAAAATTGCACGGTTTTCTCACTTTTTCTCATCTGTGTGTGCAACAGAAACTGTAAATTGTGATTCCCCGTTGGAAGCATGTGCATGAGACGAGCGAGTATTTTCCGATTAAATTCACAATTTCAAATGTGGGAAATGAATTTTTTTACGTTTTTTGATTGTGTTAATTAAAATCATTTTAATAGTTATATATAAAAATTGTAAGATAGAATTCCAAAAAGCCGAAGTTTTGTGACTCAATTGACTCAATTTTTATTCTGTTGTCACTGTACCAATTATAAACTGGATTTCATGCTTACTAAGTAAATTCAGTAGATCAAAGTAGTTGTGCTCATAGTTTAGTTATTTTATAGAATATTTGTGGATATGGTAATAGCATTTTATCAAATTGTTCATCGCAAATTGATGTGTAAGGCGTGTCTCCAAAGCAAGACATCACAGAAGCAAGCATCAATGAACTTGTGTCGTGCGTCGGACTGTGGATTAAAAGTGAAGGCTGCAGCTGAGTAGAGTCTTTAATGTTTTTTTGTTGTTGCTTTTTACCATAAAACGTAATGGTCAATAAATATTTATAAGTTCAGTGGGAATTCACCGTGATATTGCAAAAATGTTATTCACCTATAATTGTAACCGCAATTTATACACACGTATTAATGTTGTGAATCATGCACAGATTTCAATCTAGTTTCAAAGGACTTTTCGTTCTTTGCTTTGGAATATACGAGTATATTGGATATATTTATTTTACGCTTAGAATAGTTGATTGCAATTTCCATAAGCTGTGGCTTATAAGCTTCTACTTTGGTTTTTTTTCTATATGTGTTTGTCTCTACGTTTTTAATGCATTTAGCTGGCCTTTTTTAAAATTTATTTCATATTCTTCATTTTGGAAACCTTTCTTAAAAGTTTATTCATATATAGGGTGTATTTTTAACTGTGTGAGAACAAGACAAAAAAATTGTTGGAATGAAATTTTTTTATTGTAGTCTGCTAGATATTGTCATGGCATTTATTTTTGGATATGTTTGTCGGTATATGTCCGCTGATGCTACGAATTACATGGTCCAATCGATGAGTCCAATTTTTAACTTATTTTTACAATGAATGTGGCCGTATGGCATCATTCAATCATCATTGGCTTCCAATTCTTCAAGAGTTGCTGGTTCATCGGCAAAAACCAATGACAAAACATAGTTTGTGACTATGTTACAAAAAAAAAAAATTCCTTATATAAAATGATAGCTTCTCATAAACGCTTCTTAGTAAAGGTACATATTAGGTATCACGTATTAACTTTACTCCTTAATATTGTTGGATTTAAATGAAGTTTATGTTAGTATGTTGCCAAGCAGATATCTATATCTTTTATAGGGTTATGTTGCATCTTGGGTACGAGTACGAATAGCGTTGTTTTTATATGCCCTTCTATCTTGTTATGGAATATAGAGTTGACGTTATGATCTTAATATATTATTGAACTGTATCATCTAGCGGTTTTCTGCGTATATCTATTATTTTAATATATTATTTCACTGTCAGGATTTTCTTTAGCATAATTGTCTGGTAAACTTTTAGTTATTTATAATAACTTAAATTTTTAATTATTAATTATATTTAGTAATATATTTAATACATATTACTATATTTAATATGAAATATTTAGTAATATATTTTAAGCAAAAATAATTTAAAGAATTAAATTAATAAAAAACAACAGTAAAATGCTTTTACTGTAGCTAAAAACAACAAATTCCCGTCCGTCTTTGGCCAATTTGTCAATTTACGAATAATTAAAATATACTGGGAAAATCTGTCTCTAAGAATTCAGAATACATTTACAATCATTTCAAATGGGCAAAAAAAAAATTCCAATAAAAACTTAATGAAAATGCAAAACGATTAAAAACGATATATAAAAAAATACTTTAAACTCTATGCTTTATGCCATTTA